GCGATTTAATAGCCTCACCACTTTCGAAAGTTTTACCATTTAATGTGTGCTACAAAGAACGAAACCAATGGTGATCTGTCGGTGCGAGGTCAAGCCTATATGGTGAATGCATGAACAGTTACCAGCTAAGTTGTCGCAGTTTTTGGCGATTAACCAAAGATGTCTGAGGTCTATATATGGTGCCAACAAGACGAGGCGCGCTACGTCATAACAACTGTGAAACGCTATAATTACTACATGCGATATTTCCACGGCGTAAATTGGCGCTAGTTTACAGGTGACGAGAATTGAACTCCTAGATCTTGTGATTTTACACCATTATATTACTTTTTAAAGGGTGATTTATAATCACAGTTCCATTGAAACAAGTCCACGAACCTTGACTTGAATGCTGGCCTTCTAAATGACACTATGCAATGCTGCCGTCATCTCATCGTTTGAGAGTGGCCCTCGTGAAAGAAATATATACATATTATATATCGTTGGAAAGGTGACAGTCCGAACTGTAAATCAAGCATAAAATAACTTCATTTTGATTTGAGTTGCTTAGTGAAAAAACGCATGAAAGATGGACAACGAAAAAGATCATATGCGTCATATTATGTTATACGAATTCCGCAAAGGAAAAACAGTAGGCGCTGCAACTAAAGTTATTCGCGAAGTTTATTTGGACCGTGCTCCAACACTCCGCACAGTAAAGAAATGGTTCGCGGAATTTTGTTCTGGAGATTTTAACCTCGAAGATCAACCTCTTGCCGCATCCCCCATATTCATACGACATTACACCTTCTGATTATCATTTGTTTCGATCGCTGCAGAACAATTTGAATGGAAAAAAATTTAAAAATGAGGAAGACGTCAAAAACCACCTTGACACCTTTTTCAACGAGTAACCGCGCGATTTCTATGAATCAGGCATCCGTAAATTGGTTGAACGTTGGGAGTGGATTGCCGAACATGATGGCGAATACATAATTGATTAATAAAAGCGCTTTCTTCAAAAAATTTCAATTTTAGTTTGCACTTGAAATCGGGTACGAACTTATGCACTCATCCAATACATATATATACAATTATATTATTGATGCCTTAAATTATGTTAAGACAAGACGATAAAGATTTACTCTTTGGGGCAGATAATCTCTTTTTCTGGATATCACATTTCACATGAGTAAAAATAATTATCTACGCATTTTCAACTTCCTCCACCCCAATAAGCAATATGTACATATATATTTATATACTAAAAAGGCTTTAATGCAATTTCCATTCTTTTGAAAAGCTAAAACATCTAACAATGGAACTTTTTGCTCGAAACTTTTTTAATCAAATTTAATTAAATTCTAAATTCGCAAACGATAAATTTTAAACGAAAATAAAAATTCGAAATAAAACGTAATAAATGAAAATCGTGCAATAAAAATTAAAACTAAATTGACATGCAATGCAATTAGTTTTATTTTTATAATTTTGTTCTTTTATTTGTTGCTCATTTGAAATTTGCTAAAAAAAACAATGCAACGTTGTTGTGCGCTTGGCTTGTGGTTTGTGCGGAAAATAGAAAATAGAAAAATGCAATTGGCAATGTGACTGACGTGACGGTGCCGCTGATGATGATAATAATAATAATAATGGAGGCAAGAAGGTAGCTTTCGAATATGAAAGAAACACGAAAGAAACATGAAAGAAAAATATAAAACGAAATCGAAGAGAAAAACGAGACAATAACTCAATTTTACCGTAAAATAAATGAATGCAAAGAAGAAAAAAATCCAACGAGAAAGCCGAAAAAAAACTAACAGGAAAGAAATTGATGGCGGAAAACCACCAATTAAAACAGAAAACAACTATCTTGATGAATTTACTAAACTGTCTTTGGCAAGCCGAAAGAACACAAGTAGAAGAAGAGGAAGAAAAAAGCGGGAAAACAAATTTATTTCTCGGATACTTGGGGCATTTTAAGCTGGTGTTCAATGAAATTGATTAAAATGCGCCACCACACAAGCCGTAATCGTCGACAACACGAAATCAACCACCTTTCATTGAGTGGCAAGTAACATAAGTACGGTAGAAAAATAAAAACAACAACAATACTAACACGTAAATATGAGGAAAAATTGTAAACAAAATACCAAAAATAAATACAAAACCAAAATTAAAAAAAAAAAAAACTATTATCAACAACGCACAAAGTAAAATATCGAATAAATGTAGTAACAAGTTGAATGGTGAATAAATTCTATATGAAAATACAAAGTACATATACTAACATATATTCGGTTACATATTAAATAGGCGAAAGTAGGGTAGAATAGTAGAACGTTTAAAGTTTTTTTTTCGCTTAAAGTTGACACTACATACAGCTAGGTAATTCCATAAACTAAACTCATTATGGCACAATATTCGCTTTGAAAAGACTGCAAAGACTCAGTAACGGTTTTGTGATAACGGTATTTTTTTTCATTAATTTTTCAAAAGCAATATGTGATGTTTTGAAATCAAGATAAAAATTATTCAAGACAATACCAAAGCATAAAACGTTCAGACAGCCTAGTGAAAGGCGAAAGAAAAGGGGATTCGTTTTTCGAAAATTAGAAAAATGTTTATATGGTCTTATAAAGGAGCTTCTATTGTACCAAACATTTTTGAAATATGTTTCGCCTTTGCTTTAATGATTGTGCTTTGTTTACATTCGGTTTTTTTATTAGTTTTAAAGGCGATTTTATTTTACGCCTCAAATCCAACACCTCAATAATTGAATCGTGAACAAATAAAGAGTTTTTTTATCATCTCTGAGGGAGTCCCAAGAAGTTGCTAGAATCTAGACATGTTGTTGTTGTTGTAGCTTTTCGCTAACTGCACTCAGAAGCAGGCAAGATGAGTTGTAGGCTATCGAGATCAACTAACGTAAGGTCCACGCAACGAGCTGTTTCGATGGGTTCTGACCAAGGGGATGGAGGGTGTTAAATGAAATGGTTTTAGGGAGCATGCAAACAGGTGGTTAGTGCTTCATTGCATGCAGCACAGACTTTGGGTATGTCGGCGTCAAATGTTTTCTTCTACAGTATATTAGGTCAAGTAAAAAGTTCGTTCGGTTTTTTTTTATTGATTTATCAAATAATGATAACTTTCTGTACATTTGACCGACTTAAGTCAAATATGCGCCGTTTTTTTTCATAAACTTGTTACCAACGAGATGCCAACTTCATTTGCCCCCTCTCGTAGAAGGCTGCGTTCCTATTGGCAAAAAACTCGGATAGACAATTTTCACAGGCCTCTCTTGAGGCCAACTTCTTACGGACTATAAGGTGGGTACATCAGGACCTACCATCAAAGCTCCTGTAGCTACTGGCATGTCACCAAAGACGTGTGTGGTCTGGCGTTGTCATGATGGAACACAATTCGGCCTCTGTTGATCAAAGATGGCCTCTTCTGAGAGAGTGCTGCCTTCAAGCGGTCCATTTGTTAGCAGTAGAGAGCTGAATTGAGCGTTTGGCCACAGGGGAGCAGTTCGTAGTAGATGACTCTTTGCCAATCTCACCAAACACTTAGCAAAACCTGGTGTATCTTTGACATGAAAACTACCGGAACGGAACCTAGCAAACCACTTTTGTGCAACACGTTCGAGTACAAAATCGGTACTATAAGCTAAATGATTTCTTTAAGCCGCTTTGGCTGCTTTTTCCCCTTGACCGAAGAAAAATTGTAAAATATAGCGTTGTAGTGGTGGAGCTTTTCGTCCGCAATAGATGGTGGTTTGACTTCGAGAACGCCGTTACCTGCAAGGAAGTACAGGAAAGTGTTGACAGACTCTCGATGTATGACATTGAATGCCTGTTGGGCTTATCCCCCGTCATCCCGTCCAGTATCACTTGTAAGTGGTACTGAATGCCGTACTGTGGGTCGAGTATACCCTTTCTGATATACCTGGGTAGTAGTTCAGCTTCTAGTTAGTGCCTGTTGTCGTATTCTCTGTGGTAGTATTGCAGCAGAAATTGTTTGTACGACTTAACTCATAGCATTGACTCTGCGCTGCACAAGTAATGCGCTGGCGATATCAGCAGATTTCCAGTCATACTTCTGAGATCATCTGTGTCTCGTTAGTGCCCGACACCCAGTTCGAAACGACACAGTTAAGATTGGTCTGCCTTTTGCCTTGCCTTGGATGTTACCTTCTTTGTAACTCCGCCAGTTACTGGCGGCTAATGCTGAGAGGATTTAGAGTTTTGTGACATTTTGAGTCGTCGTATGTGCAGTGAAGGAGTACCAAACTGTCGAATGGGACGCCCAATAACTTCGCAGCATAAGGATAATACAAGATTTAATGATTTGCCGGTGAGCTTATCCCTGCATTATAAACGATCATGTAGTATTGGAACTAATTTTCATATGACGACTATTTTTGGAGAGACGTATCTAACGTCAACTTAGCAAACCCCAAGTAAAAACCGGAGTGAAGCATACGAATTCAGCCTCCAAAAAGCCTTCCTCTAATAGTCGGGTTTCTGATTGGTCTTTGTTTGAACGAAGTTTTAACGGAGAGACTGGTAATTAACTTAACCGAACTACTTTTGTGTTGCGTTTGAAGAAAGACACTCTTGAAAATTTTCGGGCCAAAACTATTTTAGAAGCTAAATTGTATAAGAATGTACCTTAGAAAGACCAGCTATTTTCAACCAAACCACTTTTGATACCAAGTTGTGCCACAGAGTCTTCAGAAACTAAAAAAAGGTGTTTGAAGGTGCGGACTAACGGTGCGCTGCAGAACGTATATGAAATCTGTTGAAACTCTGAAGCCAATAGAGTTTTTCAAATCTCTAACTCAGGCATGAGCACATCACAGCTCGCTTTATATAATATTATATTTTAAATACCGTTACTGAGAGTCTTTCGCAGCGAATTTCTCATACAAAATCAAAGTAAAACCTAATATTTCAGAACAACTAATTTCGTGACCTTTAGCAGGCCCGTCGCTAAAGCGTTCGGTTGTTGCTTAATACCTGTTCCGATATTGGCGCGTCCATTGTAACGGTAGTTGTTATTCAAACCATTATTCTTGTACGGCAATGTTGCAGCGCCACCACCAACAACACCGCTACCTGTGTTAGTTGCATCACTGCCGACGCCAACGCCAACACTAACACGCATAACATTGCTATTGCAATTAATATTGTTGCTGTTTGTTTTACTGTTGTTGTTGTTGTTGCTGCTGCTCATTAGTAGGCCACTATTATTGGCAGTTACACCGTTCATTGCCACCGCACCAACACCGGCTGCATGGGCGTGTGCATGTGCATGCGCATGTGTGTGATGATAGTCGACCGTTATGCCGTTCTGATGGGCAACGCCACTGCCACCACCACCACCAACACCAGCACCCATAATGCCACCGTTGTTGCCGCCATTCATTATGCCACCACCAATGCTTGCACGCATGTACTGTTGGTAAGGGCCACCCATGCCGCCACCATTCATATCGCCAGCATTGCCAACAAAATGTTGCTGATGGCCATTACCTGTCATTTGGACATTTTGTGGTGCAGTCTTGTTGGTGCCACAACCGCCTACACCACCGATGCCGTTTGCCATTTGATTAGCAATGCCATTCATCATGCCGTAATGTTGCTGCTGCTGCTGCTGCTGCTGCTGATGTTGGAATTGTTGTGTTGGCAATTGTTGCTGTTGTTGCTGCTGGTGGTGGTAGTGGTGCTTCTGTGCATGTCGCTGGTGCTGATGTGCGACACTCGAATGCTGTTGCTGTTGTTGTGACTGCTGCTGCTGCTGTTGTTGTTGATGATGACGTGTTGTTGGCTGTGAGGCCAAACTCGATAGCGACGAGGAGGACGCCGGCTGTGAGGTAGCCGACGAAGAGGCCGAGGAACTTGTTGACTGTGCGGCCAATGGCGGTGATATATTGCCAGCGTAATTGCTGCTGCTGTTGCTACTGCCACCGCTCATAACGTGCTGTTGCTGTTGCTCGCCGTAATATGCTTGGTGTTGGTGTTGGTGCTGTTGTTGTTGCTGCTGTTGCTGTTGCAGCGTGGCATAGTGATGACTGTAACTGTGTTGCTGTTGCTGTGACAATTGTTGTTGTTGCAGTTGCTGTTGCTGTTGTTGTTGTTGATGATAGTAATGCTGATGCGTTGTTTGTGTCTGCTGCTGCTGCATATTCCCAGTCGATGTTGCTGCCGTCGCCGTAGGCATGTGACTTTGATGAGAATTGTTGGGCAGAAATTGTGGGTACACATGGTGCGACCACTGTGGGAAGAGCGGGCGACCTGAGGGTTCTAATTGCCATGGCGCAAGGAGGTAAGAACGCAGCATGTGTGGAAGTGATTAAATGCAGTGTAAGAAGGAGGTAGTGGGGAGAGATTGTTTTGTTGTTGTTATGAGTCAAGTATAGTATTTATGTTTGCAGTAAAGGTTTCAGTCGAAAGTTAATGGTAATGGTGTTGGTAATGATGTTATTAAGGGTAATAAAAATAATTATAATATTAAAAGTTTGGAGAGGGTAATTGTAATGGTAATGGTAATGGTAATGGTAATCGTAATTGGACCGATAATGGTTAAATAATGGTAGAGTTAAAAGTGCGAAAAGGAAAATGTATTGGTAAGGTTAATGGCAATGGTAATGGTAATGGTAATGGTAATGGTAATTGTGATGGTAATGGTAATCGTAATTGGAACGATAATGGTTCAATAATGGTAGAGTTAAAAGTGCGAAAAGGAAAATGTATTGGTAAGGTTAATGGCAATGGTAATGGTAATGGTAATTGTAATGGTAATGGTAATGGTAATGGTAATTACAGTGATAATTGCAAAATAATTATAGAATTAAAAGTGCGAAAAGGAAAATGTATTGGTAAGGTTAATGACAATGGTAATGGTAATGGTAATTGTAATTGTAATGGTAATGGTAATTACAGTGATAATTGTAAAATTATTATAGAATTAAAGTGGGAAAAGGAAAATGTAATGGTAAGGTTAATGACAATGATAATGGTTATGGTAATGGTAATTGTAATGGTAATGGTAATGGTAATTACAGTGATAATTGCAAAATAATTATAGAATTAAAAGTGCGAAAAGGAAAATGTATTGGTAAGGTTAATGACAATGGTAATGGTAGTGGTAATGGTAATTGCAATGATAATAGTAAAATAATGATGGAATAAAAAGTGCGAAAAGATAATTGTAGTGGTAAGGTTAGTGGTAATGGTAATAGATGGAGTAATAGTAGTGGTAATGACGGTAATGGTAATGGTAGTGGTTATAGTAATGGTTATGCCAATCACGGTTATGACAACAGTTAATGGTAATGGTGTGGAACATTAATTTTCGTGGTAATGGTATGGGTAATAGATGTAAAAGTTGTAATGGTAATGATAACGGCAATGGTAATGGTAATGGTTTTAGTAGTGTTTATGACATTCACGGTCATGACAACAGTTAATGGTAACGGTGTGGAATAGTAATTTTAATGGTTATGGTATTGGTAATGGTGATGGTAATGCCGATGGTGAAATGATTATAATATTAAAAGTGCGAAGCGGTGAGGGTAATGGTGAGGATAATGGTAATGGTAATGGTAATAGTAATTGTAATTTTATTTACGGCGGTAATGTTAATGTTGATAGTAATGATTACGATAATAACGAATATTTAATGTTAATGGTAGTGGTAATATTAATTTTTTTGTAATGGCAAAAGTAATGATTAGAATGTATTATGTAATGAGAAAATAAATTAAATTGTAATAATAGTAATTTGAATGATTGTTTTATTGGAGTGGATATTGGATAGGATAACGGTATTGGGAATTATGAGATTTGTAAGACGCATTGACCATGGCAATTCGCATTGACCATGGCAATTATAATGGTAATCACAAATAATATGGCATCGACAGAAATTCATTTAAAAGTAAAATGTTGTAGTTTTTTTTATGAATTTTTAAATATTATTTGAAAAAAAATCAGTTCGCATCAAGTTACACGAAGGTGTTTTTCGATATAGTATATTTCACACAATTACAAAGATCGCGACAAAATATACACAAGTGAGTTTGATGAAAAGTGGTGATTCACAATAAAACAGTCACAATTACAACGCAATACACATTTTTGAGGTTATATATAATTTTCAAAACAATAAATAAAAGTTTAAATAAAGAATTTTAGCAAAATGGGCATCATTTACAAGTAATTGATATATTATTTTTGCATTATTATTATTTTATATGAGGTGGCATCATTCAAAAAAATATGTTTCAAAAATAATTTCACCAAGAATTTTTTTTTTTTAGTTTTGGTTATGCGTCATTTATTTTGAAAATAAGTTACAAAAATCCCAACAAAGCAGCGTGAAATAAAGTATAAAGAAAAAGAGAAAGAGAGAAAAAACATTTGGGATATAACGGTTAGCATTACTGGCTGTCAAAAATATTTGAAAATAAACGTTGAAGGAAAATTAAAAAACAGAGTTAAAAAAAAATAATAATAATATGAAAAACTCTTGCACGATCTTTAAGTATTGAATGGAAACATCGATCAGCCTGAGTGGTTTTCAAGAAGTTTTGTCCAATATAAATGTAAACTGACGACCATTACGTATAAGAGGGTAACATTTCGTACTGAAATCATTAAAAAAAATGCTTACAAAAGCATACAAAAATCAAAAAAAAAAAAAAAAAAAAAAATAAAATAAAACAAAAAAAAAAAAAAAAAAAAAAATACAATAGTAAAGAAACCGATAAATAAATTAAATATAAATACTAAATCATATATATTGCTTTTGTTTAACATCCTGGTATTAACTAATTATGTATGTACATAAATAAAATAAATTAATTCAAACTCAAAACGCAAACTACAGCTACCCCCTCAAAATAATAGCTTAATAAAATTAATACTAAAAGTAATTAGAAAATGTGAGTATTTGTGGCTTTGGTTTAGTAAGAAAATAACTACGAACAATTTTTACTTCTTTTTTTTCTGTCTTTTGGTTTTTGCTTCTGTTAGTTATGAAAATTTCTTAATGTTAGCACAATATTAGTATTTGAAAAAATAATTTTTGTGATTGAAATTTCGGTGCAATTGATAAAAGAGAGAAAAAAAAAAACAAAAAAAAAAAAAACTAAATCAAACGAATCGAATTAAACGCATAAAGAAAATATGTAAATAAAGTAAAAAGTCGGAAAAATATTTAAAAAGACAAACTAAGCTCTAGCAAAAATGTTGTTGGCAAAACTTACCGGCGGCTGAACGTTGCATCACGGGCGATTGTCGCTGAATTTGTGGTTCCGCTGGCGGTTCCAATATATCACGATATTTGGAAACCATAAGTACGGAAATGAAATAAACGATGGCGAGTGAAAGGAACTGTGCTTGTTTGGTTTCCTCCTGGAAAGAGATTTCAAATTCATTTATTTATTAGCAAATTAAATTAGTTACTCGGCAGTAAAAAATTTTTTTCTATGCTGTGATATGGTATTTCCATTAAATGTAAATCATTTCAATTCTCATTACTTAATTTTTTTATTTTAGTTTATTTTATTTTACTTTTATTATTTTATTTTATTTCTTTTATTTTATTTTATTTTATTTTATTTTATTTTATTTTATTTTATTTTATTTTATTTTATTTTATTTTATTTTATTTTATTTTATTTTATTTAATTTTTTTTTATTTTGGTTTTATTTAATTTTTTTATTTTGATTTATTTTATTTTTTTAAATTTTATTTAAATTTTTTTCTTCTTTGAGTCTATTTTTTTTATTATTTTTTTATATATTTTTTCTGGTAATTTTAATTCATTTCATATTGTTAACAATTTTTTAATAAGTTAAGTTTCACCTAAATTTGTTTAATTTAATAATTTGTCTTGTATTTTGTTAAATTTCATCTCAATTTATATTTTTTTCGTTTGATTTTAGTGTTTGTCAATTTAATTTATTTGATCCATAAGAGCATGAATTTAAAAGGATAATGTTTTATATGGAAATTGCACAGTTTCGCATTTTTCCCCTATTTTCACACTTACCACATCACGATAGATAACCGCACGTAAACGATTAACATCCATGTCCTGCAATAGCTTCTCAGGATCCTTGACTGGGGATAATTGACCTGTTATTGACTCAACAATATTCTGAAAATACAAAAAAGCAAACGGTATGAAGCAAAACCACCACTATGACAGGCATGAACAAATAAGGGGCAAAATGCCAAAAGGCGAGTCATTGACAAAGGATAAGCGAAGTGTTTAACTGCAGTCACAAAAACAACAAATGTAATGGTAGTACGAAGGGCAGCTGCAATAGTATTTGACAGCAGTCATTGACAAAGTCATTCGCTGCACTAAGACCTAAATATACGTGTATATTTAAGTGTATATACCTAAGTGTAAGAGAGGGTAACCAAAGGTTCTCCTAATATACACTCTAACATACCTACCCAACTATGCTTAGTGTGTATACTGAATGCAGTACTGTGGAATATATTTATATGTGGATATTTCTGTTAGAATATGTGTAAACCGCAGCCAAGTACTGCATATAAGTGAGGCACTTGAAGGCCATAAAGGCACAAGACAAGTATTGCAGTGAAAACAAGAGCTGTTGTTAAAACCAAGCACACTGATTGCCAAAGCATACGAGCATACAAGTATACAAGCATGAGTAGGAGAATATAAAGCAGACCTCTTGCGATAAAGTTTGCAGTGATGCAGTTTATTTCTTTCCGCTGTCTTTTATGACATACCACAGTATATTTTATTTTACTGTTATGGAATTTTCACTCTTGTCTTAACTGTTTGACGTCTCAGCTAAGCTCAACGCGACTCGACTCACCTTGGGTGATGCTTGTGCGCCACGTATGAGCGCCTGCAGATGTGCGGCGCCCGGTACATCGCGCGCCATTGCACCCATATTATAGCGCGTACGCTCTTTGCACTCCAGACAGTTGCGCACCGCACACGTGCACACCAGACGCAAACATTGACGCAGTATACCGCCGCTGGACATGTTCTTCTCCGCCTCCAATTCGCCGAAATTCAACGAAGTGGCAAAGATTAGCACGTCCGCCATATTGACGAGCCGTTGCAGAAATGAGACGGCAACCTCGAGTGGCATACCCTGTGTGGGCTCCAGTACATCCAGTTCAGACTGTAATAAAGAAGAAGAAAGAAAGGCTTTAGGAATAATAACAAAAGAGAGCATAACTATGTTTTATGAGTAAAAAAAAGCTTGATAGATAAAATCTTTGCGTTCCAATAAAAAGATTTAACTAGAAGTTAAATAACAAAGAGCGATGTGTGTGTAAATTAATTAAAATAATGTAAATATATTTCATAACCTTTTTTATTTTATGTTATTTTTTTTTTGTTTCACTTACTTCACTTTATTTTATTCAATTTCTTATTGCAGGTTATTTTACTTAATTTAATTTCATTTAATTTTTTTATTTTGTTTCAATTTTTTTCTTTTATTTCATTTCATTTTATTTTGCTCTATTTAATTTTATTTACTCTTCCTTATTTAATTTAACTTTGTTTATTATTATTTAGTTTTTTTTTAATTGGTTTCATTTTGTCTACATTAATTTTTAGTTTAAATTTATTTTATTTTATTTTATTTTATTTTATTTTATTTTTTTTATTTTATTTTATTTTAATTTATTTTATTTTATTTTATTTTATTTTATTTTTTTTTATTTTATTTATTTTCTTAATTTTATTTTTTTTTTTTTTTTTTTTTTTTATTTTTTTTTTTTTTTTTTTTTTTTATTTAATTTTATTTTGTTTTATTTATTTTTTTTTTCTTATTTTGTTTATTTATTTAATTTTATTTTTTATATGTGCTTTATTTTATTTTTATTTAAAAAAATTCTTATTAATTTTATATCCCTTTTGTTATATTTAATGTTCTTACTACTACTGTCTTCCGTTAAAACAACTTTTATTTAATACATATTTATAAATATTATACTCATTCATTCCGACTCACATTTGGCGATGTGGCACTTGCCAACAGTGGCAGCAAACCGCCACAAGCGATGATCAAATTATCCGCCAATTGCGATATTAAATGCACCGTATTCACCACAAAGATAGCATTTTCGCTGGCATTTACGAAATCCAAAACACTTTTCGTCGAGTGGTTGCGCCACACTTGTATGTCCGTCTCCAATGAGAAGAGCACGTCAGCTAAAAGACGCTGATGGATGTAAGACCATTTGAATTCTGGTATGCGAAAGGGTGGACGTGTTGGGCCGGGACTGAACATTGGACGTGTTGAACCACCTTTTGTACGTTGTTGTTGTTGTTGATGTGGATGTTTATCATCTGTAGAAATAGCATAAAGAAAAAGATATGAACTCTTTTATGTACTTTAAGTAATGAAATGAAAATTGATTTATGACGGTAACTATGGAAATGAGTAATTTATTGGTACTCTCATTTGCCGGTGGAAATATTTAAATAGATGACGGATAATTTAGCGTTTTCGAGTAGCTTACAAGCGTTTGAAAGGAAATGGCTAATAAAATCTTATTTTCAGAAACACAAATTGCTGGTGCAGAGGAGATTCAGATTAACCAGAATTTAAAATCATTAAATAAAGTTGTTACTTCCACCAGAAAACCATAACTTTTTTAATAAATAGTAAAATATTTATTTCCAAAATAAGAAGGCATTATTTGTAATAGTTTGATCTACGCTAATATGAAATTCACAGCGTTTAAAATAATATCTTAGCGTAAAAACTAGGCATCGCTCTCTGTAAACTCAATTTCAACTCAATACTGCTCTCATAAAATCATATTTTTACTGCTAACCAGGCTGTATTTAGAGCCCAGGTGAGCGTCGCCGTAGATCACTTAAAGTGGTGGCCAAGTAGTTCCCTTTGAATCTCGTACCTAGTAACATACCGGGTAACGAGATGGTGAACAAGTCGACAAGGGGGGCCATCTCTCTTCCACTTGCTCCATTACAGAGGAATCTGGTCGTGCTTTTCTCGATCTTTACAATCGCTATAAGAAATTTATTCAACGCATAATTTAAGATTGAAGGGAGTGGGAAATAAGTTGGCTGCGGAAAAGGAAGATAAAATCTTCAATTACATATTTCACGCAGAGGCAGTCTGAGAATGTTGTTAAACGATTGCTGGAGGCATTGCAGAAAGGGCGACGAATCAGTAACTTTAAGACAAAGAATTTGCCTCAAATTACCTCAAGTTTGATGGAGTAGCTAGAAGTGAGTTCTAATGTTTCGTAAATGTTTCTTTGGTGATGACATAGGATGAGATTTTTAAAAGCAACAGACTTCCAGAACCTTTGTCGAGCCTAACTGAAGAGGAAGGAAGATTTACTAGCCTCCTAAAAGCAACACTGAGCCAACAGCTCATTCCTGGCTAATAGATTGTTGGTCGGCACAAACAATCTCCAAACCAGGCTCAACGGCCAGGAAGATTTTGTTGTGTGTTTTCAGAAATTGGCCAAAATTAATATGCTAAGAACTGCTCTCCGACAGCCTAACTCTTACTGCGGACAATATTGTCAATAATTGGACCGTCTAAAGAGAGCAATAGCTCAGAAGCGCCCGAACGTGGCCAACAGAAGGTTAAGCTTAGTTCATTGAGACTAGACCAGGCCGCACATATCATTAGTGACGAGCCAGGAACTTTGAGAGTCACATTAAGAGGTTCTTATACATCCACCTAATACCAAGTGAATGATTTCGCTGGTGAGAAATTGAACTCAAGAAAAGACTCTGAAAACCGGTTGTTCCAATTTATCGACAGAGACAAGGGTTTTCAACAGAGAGAGAAAACGGTGCACTTAATAAAAGTAAAAGAATCTCGAAGAATTCGTCTTTAGAAATAATTTATTTAATCATATGGTTGGCCACCTCTCAGCAAAACTCATTCATTCCCTCAGCAAAACTCCTTTCCTCCCTATACGTTTACATTTTTCCTTTTTTTCGCATTTTATTATTAACCTAGAGACAGTCTTATTTATGTAGTTCAAATCAACTTGAAAACATCTTCTAATTCATTGAATTCTATTTAGGGTAGATCGCAGATCTCATTTGGAGGGATAAACAGAATGCGCTCTCTCTGCATTCGATTACAGTGAAAGAGAAGGAAACATCAGGGCATATGTTTCTGACCATAAGTAAAGTGTTCAACCGTAAAAGGTCGAAGGAGAAAAATGACGTTGCATAGAATTGATTTTCGTTCGACCTGTCATGAGATTGCCTTCGACTTTGCGGTGAGGCAGCACCTCTTGTGAGGGAAATTACGAGAGAGTGCAAGTGGATGGAAAAGGAGCTGCGCTGTTTTCGTGTTATGTAATATGACCTCTTCTATCTATCCATCCATGAGAATCTGTTGCTTTTTGTAGCAGAAAAGTTGGATAATATCAATGCTTTAATGAAAAATTATTTGCGATCGTATTCAAAATTAGAATTGAGCTTAGAAAATCGTCAAATCAACGATGCCTCACTTTATTTCCTAATTTCCAATTCCATAGAATTCCTACTTTTGCTTTTATTTTTACTCTCCCAGTCAAACCGACAAACATTTCCTCCCACCACAAACATTTACCAGTTTTATTGTGCCGCACTAAGCTTACGTCTAATCTCCACTCTGCTCTCCAATTGGATTCGAATTTCAGTAGTTCAACTAATCGTCAAACTCAATGCCAGCTGTAATCAAGACAGACACAGGACGCTTCGTGGTAAAAGAAATGTATGAGAGGAGAGAAAATAAATGGTGTAATAAAAAAACCGCTGGCATCTGTTACTACTGCTGCTGCTGCTGCAGCAATCTTCAATCACCAGCCGCCAACCCCTGACACGCTGACACTTATTTGTTTGCATGAGTGCCGTTAAATCCCAGCTAAGTTTATGTGCGTGCCATTTAATTTTGTGGAAATCATTTACCACCCTGATTGCCCGTCCAACATCCGACCGTCCAACCGTGAGCGTTCGTGCACTTCAGGCATGAGTGAAGTCGGAGTCGCGCGTTTCCATAGTGAGATTTTATTACACTTTTTGCCCTTTGCGGGGGCGGAGGGCGGGGGGCGCACTAAATTGACAGCTAGGATTTATCTAATTTCTAAGCAAGCTGGCGAAGATTTAGAGGCAAGCAGCAGCCGGAGTAGCAGTAGCATTTCATTATGGCAGTAATGGTTCACTGCATATTCCACTTTTTGCTCGTTCTCTGATTCGCCGTTTTTTGATTAACGCTCAGATTTAAACACATTTCTTATAATAGATACTCATGTTTTCTTGCAACTTTTACATACATTTCGGTAAGGGGGGTTTGCGTACTTACCAAAGTGATTATTCTCCACTTGTGTGCCGGCAGTCGCGCGTTTCGTCTGGTGGTGTGGGTCCACTTGCGCCACATCGTCAAGCAGCTCTTCGTGTACAACTGTGTGCGTCTCTACTTCGGCCTGCTCGTCGACCAATTCTTCGACGACCTCGGCATTCAGAATGCCGACCACGTTTTCATTGGGTTGGAGCTTCGGCGTTGTTTGCGTGGTTGAGTCAACTTCTTTTACGGCTGGTGTGGAGGCAGTCGCTAAAGGCTTGTCTGCTGGTACTTCCGCCGCTGATACTGCTGCTAGTGTTGGTACTGCCTCCGTCGCTGATGTTTCCGTGTTAGCTACGTCTGTGGTGGCTACAGCTGTTGGTTCAATTTCACTGGCTTTCTCTACAGCGTTCACAGTCTGCTCCAGCAAATCATCCACGACTGTTTGTACAATATCCGTGACATTTTCTTCTTCTGTGTCTTCCACTTTTGCTTTGTTTGTTTCTTCGTTCTGTGTGTCCTGTGTTTGTGCTACCAATGCCGCAGGCAGCACTTCAACGTCGCTGGTGTTTGCCTTGTCTACGGCACTGGCGAGTACATCTTCTACAATTTGTTTAGCTGTCTCCGAGACTGCTGCTTCTTCACTTACATCATTCTTCTCTTTGTCCAGAATTTCATTGTTGTTTGTCTCTTTACTTGCTTCTTCAGCGGCCACGCTTGCGTCCACCACTTTGTCTATTAATTTATCGACTATGTCTTTTACCATTGTCTCAACAGCGTTGTTTTCGTTGTCTATTGGCGTCGTCTCGGCGAGACCGAGTAGGTTTTCCTCGGTTATGGATGCGCTAGATACGGTTGTTTCCGGACTAAGTGATGAGATCTCCTCGGTTGTCTCAACGGTGGTCGAAAGCGAGGAACTGACATCCATTAATTCGTGTTCGTGTTCCTTGGCAACAACAATTGCCAACTTCGACGTTTTATGCTCGTCGCTGGGATCGGCAGTATTTGTGTTGTTGTTGTTGTTTAAGTTATTTTCTTCAGTTTTGTTGTCATCAGTCTTTTGTTGCGTCTCAATAGCAGGCGCTGGGTCGGCGTGTAGGTCCGTGACTACTGCATGGTTTGGCTTTTCATCTTCAACATTGTTAGCATTCTCTTCTTCTTCTTCTTCTTCTTCTTCTGACTTTCTCTCCGTTGTGTTATTATTATAAGTATTCTCGGTGGACATTGCCATTGTTGTTGTTGTTGTAGTTGTTGTCGTTTTGAGCTCGTTGTCAGCATTGTTATTCAATAAGTTCTTTGTATTCAACAAAGACACATCATCCTCATCGGTTTTTTGTATTTTTGTATGTGTCTCCTGCGTGGTAGACGTGGACGGCTCCTTCGTCGCAAGTTTCTTCTCATTCTTGAGCACACCTTGCACCACCTCATTAACAGCCAACTCGATCTCCTCATCCTTTAAGACGGACGATGCTTCGTGCATTTCATCGGCTACCATTTTACAGTCTTGCAATGCCCGCTCCGAGCTTTGCAGCACTTGTTGCACATGTTCGTCATCGGCAGTTGTACCGGCGGCCATCTTGGCGGTCGCCAGTTCGATCTCTTCCAGATCCTCAGGTTTGAGGTTAAGTGTTTGTGACAATGCTTCTTGACCTGATGATTTCGCTGGTGTACTACTGGCGCTGGCGACTGTCGAGGTACTCGATGCGCTGCCATTGCAGGTTACAGCGACTGCAGGTGATTCAACTATGCTGGTGATTACAACATCCGACTTAATATGTTCATTATACACATCGGATATGTTGGATATTTTCGATTTCGTTAAGTCTTCGCTTGTGTTCGTACCCGTTGACGTGGTATTGGTAGGCCCTTCGTCGCTGTCGGCTTTTTCGTTCGCATTGCAACCACAATTGGCCGACTCGCTCTCATTGCCTGTTGTTGTGCTGGCCACATCTTGCACTGTTGGCTCGATACTTTCGCACTCCTCTACTTCCTCCTCCACAGGTGGTACATCTTCCAGTGAGCCCACCGATTCAGCATCCTTAACAGGCAATTCTTGTACCGCGGGCGCTGGTAGCGCTGCTTGCGCCCGGTGTTGCTGATGATGCGCATGTGTATGCTCCAATTGTTGTTGCTGCTGCTGCTGCTGCTGCTGCTGTGGTTGTTGATGTTGATGGTTGTGATGATGCTGCTGTTGTTGTTGCTCTTCACGCTCCCAACCGCTGATCGTGCTGATGGGACGTGCTTGTCGCAACGCTGGATCGGTTATATTATCCGTACGCTGTCGCTCATAGTGCTCGTACATTTGCGCAAATTGCAATTTGAACTCTTCGTATGAGACCTTCGAGTGTACAATGGCCAAAGTGTCGACCCATACGCGCCAACCGCCATACTCATGTTTGATCGCATGATGTAGCAGCATGCGGAAGAGGGAATACACCATATCGGAGATTTTCTGCTCTTCGGTATTCTTCGGATGTATGTAGGCCATGGCTATAAGCCACTCCTGCCAAACCGACATCTGGAGTACAGTGCGTCGGTTTTCACGGTTGCTATTGCACAGCAGGGTCATGTCGGAGAGGAAGAGCTTTTTCACTTCAATCAGTGATTCGGTTTGTTTGGACTGTCGAATGAGCGTGGCGACCACCTTGAGGATCACTGGAAAAGATAGAGCGATTATTATTAATTATGTGCTGTATATAAATATGTAGCATAAGTAGATTTATTAGAAATAAAAATATATATAAATATCTGGGTTATCAAAGCATGAATAGTTCAAACATCCTTTTTAATACTTTTTGTAGTTAGTAGTGTTAATAACGGGTGATCCAAAGAGAGTAGGTTCGGCGCCGTTCGCTGCTACACGAACTGACATATGGAATGATTTGGTTCCTTTTAGTTCGTGATCTTCAATTAGAAGTGTACAAAAAACAGCCTGTGTACCCGCTCGGTCTTCCCAGGCGACACCGCTTTGCTTTATGGGCTCTTGAAAAGTTCCAAGAAGAACCGACGTTTTTAAGCCAAATTTTGTTCAGCGGAAATGGACTTTGGCTCAATGGGAACAAGCAAAATTTCCGCATTTGGAACGAAGGGCATCCTGCAGAAATTCAAGAGCTGCCATTTCATGCAGATAAAATAACGGTCTGCTGTGATTTATGGGCCGGTGGAATTATCGGTCCATATTTTTTTCAAAAATTATGCCAGTGAAAACATAACCGTCAATGGCGATCATTGTCGCACCATGATAACCGACTATTTGATGGCTGAAATTGAAGCCCGGGAGCTCGGCAACCTACGATTTCAACAAAACAGATTACTTCACGTTTTGGGCCGGTCTATTGTACATCAAGAAGGTGTAATCTCATACCGTTAGACTTTCTTCTGTGGGGATATGTAAGGTCTAAAGTCTATGCAGGCAATATCTTGATTAGATGCAAGGCTTAGAGCAAATCATGACACGTATCATTCATCAGTTACCAGCCGAAATGTCATCGAAAATTGGACTCAACGCACGGACCATCTGAGATTTTGCCGTGGCCAACAGGACGATGTTGACATTGTTGTTGTAGGTTTTCAAAAAGCCCTGTTTAGGGCGAGACAACATTAGGCATCGCGGTCATCTAATGTCCAGGAAACGAGCTGGTTTTCCGGGGTTGCACCATCTAATCTAAGCCTCTTTGATGAGTTCGATTTAAGTAGCAGTCGAAGAGGTGGTTAGTATTAAGCGGTCACTTATTGTTTACAGGAAATACGTTAGATATGTCTGGGTCACTCCACATACGACTGCAATTGTCACAAAATTCGAGGGGCTCATCGGAAAGTAGCGTAATGTCGTTGAAGATTATCCCAGCCGGCTAAATCACCGACTTCAGGAGCGGGACAAGAAACTAGCAGATGTTGCCAGAGCATCATTTGAACAGCGTATCATCTATACTATGAGTTAAGAAGCATAAACTTTGCTAGGCAGGCAATATCTAGTGGGATTCTTTCTACACAGGCTTCACTGTCGCAAGTGACTCCCAATAACTTTGGTTTGTCAATAGTCGGAATTTTAACGACACTTACTTTCACATCAAGTTGAAGCCTGAACTACTTCGTCCAGCTGGTGATGAGGGTAGCCCAGAGCTTGTTGAAATACATCACCAGTTGAGAGGCATGAAAATGGTTACTTTAAAGTCAATATACCAATGATCAGAGAAGCTCTAGACTGCTCCAAATAAATATGGTATACCGGTAATAGTTTTATTGCTCAACAACAAAACATTGTTACATCTAAAACTTCCCTTCTGCGCTTACTCGTAAAGGTATAGCAGGGAGGTGCTTAGAATAGAAGCAATGGAACATTTGGTTAGTTGGTAGGTTAAGCTTGGGTAGATTATGAGCTATCTCAGGCTATGTAATAAGAGTTGCTGTCTTCTTCTAATAGTAGTAATTGCATACCTGCCTAGTTGCATTAGGGATGTAAGGAGGTCTAAGGCTATTTATCGAATAGACCCAATAATTCGATTTTACTTAGCTGAGTAGTTAAGAGGCTGCCTTTTTATTTTCTTATTCTCTTTTTTAAGACAAAAATATCATATCGGACTCTTTCTTAAGAAATCTAATAAAATCATCTTCAAATAAATTCCTCTTTTCGCCATTTCCCACATTTTTAATCTCACTAAAATATTTCTCAATTTATTACAGCTTAACTGTAGTAATATCCCTCTTAATTTTCATTTATTCACAGACGCTTAAATATATATATATATATAACTGATGTACATAAGTGCTTATACGAGCGAAGTTTTGCCTTTAATTTTTTTTTTGTATTTTTTTTTTTTTGTTTTTTTTTTTGGAAATGTCTTTCAACAGCACGAAACATTAATTTCGCTAATCTTGGAGTACTTTTACTAAACTCTTTATAAGCATGTGTTGGTTATGTGACTTGTAGAGTATTCATATGTATTTGCACTGTTTTATTTGTGGAAATATAAAGGCCACACGGAACTTTGGAGGCTGAAGATCATAGAGAAAATATCGCGCATAAAAAAGTCGACATAAGCGATTATTATGGTAGACATTTCAAACAACAATTTACAGGGAAATCTCTTGCGACAGTATGGAGTATTTTTTAATTAATGAAATCTTAACTGACTCCATGCTAATGTGATTTTTTTTTTAATATGAAATATTAGCTAAATTTATTAAACTTTCAAAAACATCTGGCAAAAAGTTGTTAAAACCAAATAAAAACAAAAATAGAAATTATTAAAAAAAAAATTATATATACACATCTATCTATCTGTATTTGTATAAATACGTTTATAAAAAAAATTATTAAACAGAAAAAAAATAAAATTTCCCCATCTTAATTATAACAGCAAAACGAAATGGGTACATTTTTCTTCACGGTATTAATAGGAAGCTATACTATCATAAATAAGTAAATGATGATATATTTTAATAAAATATTCTCTCTCTCTCTCTCTCTCTTTCTCGTACATACAAGCCTTTATCATATGGACTTTAACATTTGTTATATTCTCTTTACATACACACACATATATTACTATTATATTTCAGTTTACATATACTCACTTGGATTTTCCAAACGATAGTGACTCTCCGGCTCTGGATGTCTGGTATATAAAATTTGTTGTGATATATGCTCGGTCATAATTTCGTAAAGGACATTATACGTTGGCAGGGAGAGCGATTCCTCGTAGATTAATAAACGTTCCGCTAATAATGTGTATAAGTTGTGCGGCGACATAACGTCATATTTTCGTCTTTTAGGTGAGATGAAGCAGAGAAAATGGTGAAAGCAGCAAAAAGGTTGGCAAGCCAAAGGATGTTTAGAAGATGAAAATGAAAAAGAGACAACAATAAAAAAGTTTAGTTTAAGTAGGCAAACAAGTAAATAACGTTAATAGCATAGCAAAGTAATATTTTATAATAGTCAACCAGTTGGTGAAGAGCTATGGGTATTGTAAGTTATATGTATAATATTAAGATACGATAATATTATGATAACTTAAAACAGAGGGAATTAAAATAAAATAAATAAATAAAATACAATAAAATTAAACTAAAAAAAAATTAATGAAGTTAAATATATAATTTAAATATATTAAATTAAAATTAAAATTAATTAAATTAAATCATATGAAATGAAACACATTAAAATGAAATAAAACAAAAAAAATAAGAAAAAAGTAATAGAACAAAAATCGAAATAAATGAAAATAAAATTAAATAAAATAAAAGAAACTAAAATAAAATAAAATAAAATAAAATAAATTAAAATAAAAGCATATAAACCAAATTAAAAAAAAAAATAAAATAAAAAAAAACAAATAATAATAGTGAAATGAATTAAAATAATATAAAAAATTAAATTCAACAAAATGCAAATAAATAATATAAACTAATCTTAAGCAAAATAAAAAAAAATAAAATCAAACTTTACTGAATTAAAAAACTAAACATAAAATAAAATAAAACCAAATAAAATACATTGAAATAATATGAAGTATATAAAAATAAAATAACAATAAATAAAATAAAATAATATAAAATAAAATAAAATTAAATTAAAGCGAATAAAACAAAACAAAATATTTAAAATAAAATAATGTAAAAAATAAAATGATTTAAACTTATATAAAATAAAAAAATTAAATAAATTTATTTAAATTAAAAGAAAAAAACCCAAACAAAATAAAATAAAGTGCAAAAATATAAAATAAATTAATATTGACTGAAACGCAACAAAATAAAATTAAATTAAATAAACTCTATAAAATAAATTAAGTTTAAATTAATAAATAAACTAAATTTAGTTAAGTAGTTTAAATAACATAAATAAAATAAATAAAATAAAACAAAAAAAATTATATCAAGTAAATAATTTAAAATAAAACATAATACATAAAATTCTATTTAGAGAAATTATATAATTTAATAAACAGATGAAAATAAATAAAACATAATGAAGCAAATTGTAATATAATAACTTTAACTAAAATAAATTAACTAAAATAAATAAACTAAAATAAAAAAGAATAAAACACATTAAAAAAATATTAACTTAAATAAAATAACTTAATTTCAAAAAATAAAATTAAATAAAATATAATATTAATATATTGAAATATAATAAAATAAACTAAAATAAAATAATCAAACATAAAATAATATAAAAAAATGAAATAAAAATTAAAAAATAAATTAATTAAATCAAGGACAAAAATGAGTGAATAAAAAAAAATAGCAAAAAAAATGTGGAAAAAATAAATGAAAATAATATTATAAAAAAATACTCATTACAATGTAATATAATATAAAACACATCAAAAACAATAAAGTAAAATATAAAAGACGAAATAAGACAAAATGAAGTAAAATTAAAATAATTAAAATAAATAAAACAAAAGCAAATATAACAAAATTTAATATCATAAGAAATGATAAAAAATCAAATAAATTACAGAAAAAAGCTAACTAAAATAATATTAAACAAACTCAAAAACAGCGAAATAAATGAAAATAAAATCAAAAATACAATTAATTTATAATATAAAAAAATTTAATTAATACAAATTGAAAAAAAAATTAATTTGCTAAATTTAAATTTCTTTAACTTAAATTACTTTAGCTTAAATTATTTTAACTTAATTAAAAATAAATAGTAAAAATTAAACGAATAAAAATTAATAAATAATAATTAAAAAATAACAGTTAAGTTAGTAAAACTTCATTAAAATAATAAAATAAATAACAATTATATAAAAAATAATAATGATATAAAAAATATATAATGAAAATAAGAAAATTAATTATAAAAAATATATAATGAAAATAAGAAAATTAATTATAAAAAATTTAAAAAATATAAAATGAAAATAAGAAAATTTGGTGAAATGAAATTTATTGTTACATAATAAAATTAAAAAAAAAAATCTTAATACATAGATTTTGATAGTTATTTAATTTAATTTATACAAAACTTTGTATCTACCCTTGTACGTATAAATAAACACTCACTTGTGTGTGCTGCGCGATAAAAAGAATCCAAGCAATTTCAATGCTTGTAAGCGTATCAATTGACTTTCAGCAGCCAATAATTTAAAAATGCTACGAACGCCATGTTTCACATCGAAAGCAGGTACCATGGAGCTGGGATGCTCGGACATAAGCGAAATTAACATCTGTAGAACGTCATGAAGATTTTCATCCTATGAAAATATCAAGTAAAAATAAATTAAATTAATTTAAAAAAATTAGTATTGCAAATATAAATATAAATACATACGTTTTATTAAATATGTTTTATTAAACGATTTCTAAATTATAAATAAATTATATGTAAAATGCTAGTTGAGAATTACCTCATGCATGGTCGTCAAATAATTCAAAATGCTTTGCAGTTCATCCTCTTTGACACCATTACCGATCATAATCAATTGTTTTAAAAACAATAAAATATAAGCACGTATCGCTAGTATATCCTTTTGTGCTGGACGTGGACCATCTACGAAAATAGGAAGTCAAAGACATTTTAATTGATTTTTTTATGTAATAAATTTTTTTTTTTCATTTTAAATAATGCTAATTGTTTTTTCAATTTATAATAAAATTTAAATAACGACTTGCTTCTCCTTTCCACTACTCACCAACTCCCTTCGGTACGATGCCACTCTTCGTACGCGGATTCACAACCCAATAGTAATATTTTAGTGTATGCACCGTTTGTAAAACTGTGCTTACTCGTCGCACATTGCTGTAGATTTGCGTATCGCTGAGGAATTCCGTAGCCAAGTAGGAGTACAAGCGCGCTTGTACATTGGCTGGCGTGTAAATCCACAACGCCGGATTGAAGAGCACATGATCGAGCAGCTGCCACGTTAGAAATGAGAAACAGAACAGCTGGAACACATCGAGAAGGTGGATATTTTAATATATGAAAAAAAAAAAATAAATTTTTTTTATAAATAATTTTTTCAAAGTTTCAAATTCTAAAAAAAAAAACACTCAACCGTGTACTCAAAAAACAATACAAGTACAAGTTTAAGTATAATAATTACGCATAAATATAAATTTTAATATACAAAAATTATTATTAATATTATATAAAATTTATTTATACATACATGTAATGGGAGAGATTTGTTTTTGTTTTATTCGATTGTTGATTAGATTGTATTTTGATGCAGAAAACAACGAACGTAGGAACGTAACGACATTACGAGTAGGTATTTATATATTTTGGATTTATTTATTTATTTTTTTTTTAAATATTTTACATTTTTCATATCGGGTTTGTAAACGAAAAATCACAAGGCAAGGCAACGCAACGCAAATGACATTCCATAATTTTCGTTTAATGATAAAATTTGATTTCAACACATGCAGCGAACAGCAATCAGAAATGAAAATTCGATTCAAATATGAAAAAAGAAAAAATAAAATAAAGGTAAAATATAAATTTGTATGTTTATAAATATAATAATAGGTTAATTGATGTATGAATATTGTTACAATGTGAAATGGGCCGTATTAAATGATGAAAAAATCTAATTTAATTTTAACCCTACAGAATAATATACACAATACGCGGCTAATTAAGCGATTTATAATTACATTATTTACCTAGACTACTGCACATAAAACTATGTATTTCAGGGCATAATCGTTGTTTAAATGATTACGGCTAATTTAAGTTTTGATTTACATATGATGGAATTAATTACTAATAAAGGATATATTTTCAATAAAATTATTTAGCATAAATGAAAACAATATTATACGGAAAATACTATATATTTATTGTTAACTAATTAATGACTTATATGTAATACCGTTAAGCATGTAAGAAAGAATTGTAATTTCTGAACTTATTTTAAAATCAATTATTATTATTCAACATAATAGAGATACAGGACATACGTATCAGTTAATTGTTAATTGTCGTTGATACTATTATAATTTATTTTATTTATTTTTTTTTGCTTATTTGGTAATTTTTTTCAAATGTTCCGTTTTTTTATTTCAATACATTTATTTATTTTTAATTATTGTAATTAATTATTATTTTTTTAGCTTCTGTTTGTAGTTTAGCTTGGTCCTTGTCTTGTATTAAATTTTGTATTTTATTTTTTTAATTACTTTTTCCCTTTTATTTTCAATATTTTTATAATATCTAATTTATGAAAATGACATTTTTTTGTTTCTTAGACTCTTGATTCTATTTTATTCTATTTTCGAACGTACACGAGTAGTTAACAGTGTACCAACGGTGTACGGTGACCATGCTTGAGACGACGGAGAAAGACCCGGACAGCCAAAAAAGTTTCAAGACGAAGAATTGGAGGCATTGCTCGACGCAGATTCATGCCAGACGCAAGAAGAACTTGCATAAGTATTAGGAGTTGATTTACAATAGAGTCTTAATTTTGGAAAAAAAACCGCACGAATTAATGCATGCACTTAATAGCTAGGCTTAAAATTATACCAGAACTTTCGCATTAATTGCAATCCAAAAGAAGGTCTCCTTTTCGAAGCTTTGTATTTTTTTTATTCATTGTTTGAGATTTCTATGTATTTGTTCCCAAACCTTACCCACAACCACTGTGTGTTCGGCTAAATTCGAGCAGAAGAAAAATTACTATAAAAAGCGGGTACACTCAACCGAAGGTTATTGGGTTTTTGGATAGGAGCAGATATTTGAGATCCGCAATCTCCCGTAAGATCACCTCCAAAAGAATATTTGTTGGCTACACAGAAATTAAGCAGTTCAAGAGCTCAAATTATATTAACAAAAAAAAATAAATAAATAAATAAAGATAAATAAAAAATAATAAAATATAATCTTTTTGCTCATTCCCTGGTGATTGGCATTCCTGGTAAACCTATTACGGCCGGAATTTTTTTGCTTAAAAGCCTATCCTTTCTCGCAGACACACCATTGCTAAGCAGATGTTGGAATATGACTCTGTGAACTCTTCCATTGCGTACGTAGTAGTGGTTCCCTTAAGCTCCCTTCCTTTATATTTATACATTTTTTTGAAATAAATTGAATTTAAAAATAAAATGCAATAATATTTTATATTTGTTAAATTTTTTTATTGTCTCATCACAAATAAGTTAATTTATTTTATGTTATTTTATTTTTATTTTATTTTTATTTTATTTATATTTTATTTTTATTTTATTTTATTTTATTTTATTTCATTTTAATTTTTTTTATTTTATTTTATTTTACTATTTTATTTTATTTTATTTTATTTTATTTTATTTTATTTTATTTTATTTTATTTTATTTTATTTTATTTTATTTTATTTTATTTTATTTTATTTCATTTAGTTTCATTTATTTCATTTTTTTTATTTTATAATGATTTATTTTTTAAGTCTTATTTGATTTTTATTTTTTATCATATCAATTGTTGTTATTTTATTTTGTTTTGTGATTGTTTTAATTTAAATTCATGTGATCTGCTTTTTAATTGGAAATCAGGTAGCAAACGTGCATGTTAATATACGTACATACATTAATGTATTTTCTTCCCGCATTGTCTCGATTTTTATGTTAATTTCTTAATAAAAAAAATAAAATAAAAACAATTCATAAGTAGAAAAAGTATAAATTTTCAAGAATTTGTAAAGGAAATACAGATAGCAGAATATATTTGCGTATTTATGTATATACTTACAATATACTCGTACTTCAATATATACATACATTGGGCAAAATGTGAAAATTCTCGTAAATGCAGATAAAAATCTGCTGAGCTTCACTGATTAATGCATCGCACGAGCATAAAGCTCGCAAAAGTTTTGCAATTAAAAACGCGTTAAGAGTTGCACAATCAAACCACTTACATACAAATAGTAAAAAGAGTGATAAAAAATATACATATATGTGAGTAAATACCCACAGCACAGCAAATTGCTACCAATACAGTTTTAATCTTGCAATTTCTCCACATTCCGCCCGCATGGCCGCTCGTGGGAACTTCAATGTGTTGACAAAAATAAAATTTATGAATATTCGCTTGGCTGGTTGGCTGGTCAAGCGAAGATGGGTTGGCGTGTGGTTGAAGGGTAGTTTCGTTAGTACTCAGCTGCAAGGCGTTGAATCGAACGTGCGAAATGAGTAACAGTCAATATTTTGCTGCTTTTCAATAATTACTACCCACAAAATATTAAGGAAGAAGAAGAGAATGATGATGATGAAAATAAAGAGTGATGAAAATGTGTAAAATAAAAACAAAAAAAAGTAGTGAGTGAGCCGCTGCAGCTAGCACTAAACGCGAGCAGTTACCACAAGCGTCCGACGATGACAATGACATGTCATGACAATGTCCCTGGCAACATTGTCGATATTAACATCAAAGTCAGCAGACAACTCATTAAACGATCGACCGTCCATGGCGTGCTATGGAAGGAGGGAAGGTTGGCAAAATAATGAGTGGGTTGACGAGATTGGGAATTGAGTGCCGGAAGAAAGATAAAGGCTTCCAATGGAAAATTATTACCAGAATTTTGATGATATTGACAGCAATCACTGGGGTTGCTCGGTGCATGACAACTGAGATTAAGCGAAAATGAGTTAAATATAATATAAAATAATTATGTAGTTGCATAATTTAAGGATTATTTGCTGCTTGCGAAAATATTTAATTGCAATTCAGTTTCAAATCGCTGCCGAAGGGCGGTTCAATTCTATTATTGAAGCTTTTTCAGAACAAAACTGAGATTTTTTTATTTATTTATTATTAGTATATTTGCGGACAAATTTTAAGATGGAATCAGCCTTTTATCCTACAAAGGTGGTCGTTTTCTCAACTAGAAGGAAATATTTTCTATCCTTTATTGTTTTTATTTGCTGGTCTTCCAAGATGTCATAGAAAAGCTCTAGAGAAATGTATGATTCCACGTTATTTGAAGTGCATGCAAAGCATTGATTCCATAAATGGGTTGGGCTCATCACAGCACAGTCTTCTTTGCAGCGCCCTGATTGGTTACTAATAAAATTCTCGAGTAACTGGAAGATAAAAGGAGGTATACCCCTTTAAAGCCGTCCAGCTTGGCCGAAAGGTTAAATGTTTAAATGTCATTTATTTATATCGGATATGCAGTATGTGGTTCACACGAAAGTGGAAATCCAACTGCAGGTTTGGCTAAACCATGAGCACGTTCTATGACCGCCAAGCTCACAATGCATTGGCGGCCAACGTACCATAATCTATCAGAAGCCGGAAAATGGCAACGGACTCCTGAGGAAGTTGGACCAAATGAAGGCTAAATTTGTAGGCAGAGACTAGCATTAGAGTCACTGAAAGTCCTCAGAACTTAGTTGTTGCTCATCCGCTCTGTGGCTTGATGCAGGCAACACCCAAAAAGTTAACGTTCGAGTTTACCCGGTGTGGACTTCGTGTCAACTGAAACAAAGTGGAACTAGTACAATTTGCGAGGAGATATAAGAACCCCGCTATCAACTCACCAGTACTGTGCGGTATACAACTTAACCTAAGGACGAAAGCCCAGGAGTCATCTAAATGAAGCTAAACTGGAAAGATAGTGCAATCTAAAGACACGAGAAACCTGCTGTTGCTCTCTTTACATGCAAAAGAGCGAAAAGCTAGAGATGTGATTTAAGCCTCAGGACTTTCTAATGGATCAACGTTTCAGCGGTAAGACCAACTTTCTTTGACGAAGCGGTTATGAGGTTTAAGCCTCAGGACTTTCCAATGGATCTACGTTTCAGTAGTAAGACCAACGTTCTTTGTCGGGACGATTGTATGGTGGTCAACCGAAAATAAAGCTTCAAGTGTTAGTTTTAACGTCGGATACTGGAAAGGGGACGAACTGGCAAAGCAAGGTACTACCATCGGTTCTCATCGATAAAGAACGCATTGGATTGGCTTTTACTATTCTCAAACTGCTGCTGATGAAATTAACATGTGAACAAGCCGCGCCAAGATGGAAGGCAACTAAAACCAAACTCACCTGTCCAATTCGGGTAATTAAAGTCTCATTCCCGCAAGTATTGATTAAGGACCGAGTTCAATATCTTCAAAATGAAAATTTTTGAATTGCAAGCAAAAATGCATGATTTTCTAAATCTAAATCATAAAAAATTTTACGTTTCATAAATTGTTTTCAATTTCGTTTGAAACCACAGCATATTTCTGCTAAGCATCTCCTTTTCCACTTTCCACATTTTTTGTATGTAGTATTTTTATAGTAATCCACACCAAGTGCTTATTTATGTACGTAAGTGCAGAAGTGATTTTTGGTTTTAAAAAGCTTTCACGTGTAAGCTTATACTTTCATTTATACATTTGTATGTATGTATTTTATGTGCTCAACCATTAGCGGTGGTATTAACGTTTTACAGCAGCCGAAGGACAATGTGGTAAGGACACGTGCGCGCTTTAAACAGCGCCATGAGAAAAGATACAGCGCTTTCACGTGCTGTTACGCAAATACGCATGCTTTTACGTATATACATATGAATGTATCATATATAAGAGCACGATCATATTTGATGCTTTTTGAGTGTAAATACATCATTGCTCGTCAGCCACTTTTGTTGGTAAATATTTACGCAAAGAAAATATGATTAAGGGACGTTATGTACATATGGTACGGCTATACGTAAGTAAATAGATATGGATGATTGTAATAAAAAAAGGATTTTATAAAGATATGCTATGATATAAAATAAGTATATAAACTGAATATTACTATCGATATACTTTAACAACTATTTATTAATAAACGAGTTCTTACGATGCAAACACTTTGGTTAGTTGTTGAAAACTTTCCAATAAGCTACGGCTTCGAACTCCAAAGCGCTACAATTGCGTAATATTAAAAGAGGTTCGCAGTAAAGAAAAACTTCAATATACGAGTACAAAAGAACGGTAATATCCAAAACTACTGAATACTCATTTAAAAACCAAGTTTTACACGAACTACGAATTTACTAATTTCAAATATTAAACACATAATTTGGAAGAACAACTGTACATAGTTTTCAAATTTTTCATTTACTTAAAGAGCAAGCTGCCAAATAGCGTTCGTATTACAAATGTAAAAAATTAAAATATTGTAATAAAATCAAAGAAAAAAACCAATAATTAATTGAAGCAAAGTAAAATTAAACATCAAAACAATTAAAACAAATATATGAAAAAAAGCTAATAAAATAAATAAAAAGTAAAATAAGTTAAACTATAATATTAAAATGAATAAACTGAAATATAACAATATTAAATGAAGTAATAATAGCAAAAAATATAAAATTATTTATAATAAAAATGAAAAGTTAAATGAAAAGAAAGTAAGACGAATAAACTAAAAAAAAAAGAAAAGAAAATAATATAAACCGAAAAAAATCAAATAAAATTAAATAAAAAGGAAAAAATATAGTAATTAAAAAAATACACTTAACTAAATTAAAATAAAATAAGATACACTAAAATAAAATTGATTTCATAAAAAATATATTAAATAGTTTAAATAAGATTTAATTAAGCGAAATATAATAAAATAAAATGAAATAAAATAAAATAAGATAAAATAAAATAAGATAAAATAAAATAAAATATAATAAAATAAAATAAAATAAAATAAAATAAAATAAAATAAAATAAAATAAAATAAAATAAAATAAAATAAAATAAAATAAAGTAAAATAAAATAAAATTAAATAAAATAAAATAACATAAAATAAAATGAAATAAAATAATATAGAATTTAATAAAATAATATTTAATTAAATTAATTATAAAATATTAGATTTAAAATAAGACAAAACAAAAATAAATTTATGTAAATATCTGTATATTAAATAAAATATAATAAAATGTATTAACTGAACTAAAATAATATAAACTGAAATAAAAAAAAATTAAATTAAGTTAAATAAGTTCAAATAGAATAAAATAAAATAATACTAAATAAAATAACAAAAAACCAAATAAAAAAATATTGCAAAATGAATATAAAAATAAAATATAACTAAAAAAAATGAAATTAAGTAAATTAAAAATGAAATATAATAAGTTAAGATAAAATAAAATAAGCTTAAATAAAATTAATTAAACTAGAGTTAAATAACATAAATAGTATGTAGTAGCTAAGTAAAAAAAATATATTAATTTCAATATCTGCAAAATCTTGTTTTTAAATGAATTTTTATTTTTTACTTTTAATTGTTGACCATTAAATAATAATATTAATATGCATAGTTCTTAACATAAATAAACACGTTTTGTTCCTGATATTTTGACAGCTCACTCTTTTCGTTTATAAAATATTTTTTAAACAAATAACTCATATAAAATTGGTTTATTTCTTCACCTGATAGAACTGAGAGTTGTATTGTTTTGCAGTGTTGGACGGTTATAGTTTGTTGTATACAGTTAGGTTTTTTATAAAGCAGACGAAATATAGTTTTTTTTTTGTTTTTTGAAAATAAGATATTATTTTTAAAAAGTTGTAGAACCGCAATATACGCAGATATATTGACGAGAGCAGCCAATTGTTTTTTTTTTTTGTATTTTTTTTGAATGAATGAAAAATTACGATGCGTATGAAAAGTGAAAGCGATAGCGAGTAAAGGTGAGGCAATTTCGGATTTGTTTTTACAGCATACAAAAAGAAAATCGAAATTTTTGTTTTGAAGGAAAGTAAGAAAAAGAGATATTTTGAAAGGAGAATATATACGGTTAGTTATTGTTTCGATGCATATATATTTATAAAGAGTACAGAAATTGTTGTAATAGTACTTTGTGGCTTATGCAGTAACAAACTTTATTTAAATAGCTTTTAAAAACCATATTGAGAATTGAGAAAAACACTGGAACACAAAACATGACAAAGGAGGGCATGCAGGAGGGGGGGGGGGGGGCACTGCTTAGTAATATTGAAAGCAATTTTTCTCCTTCATAAACAGATCTCAGATTTAAAAAGTAAAGCTAATAAAAAGTTATCACAGTAAAAAAAATTTTTGAAAGAATTTCTTGCACTACACGATTATGGAAGAAATTTTGGGTACTACACCAGGCAGGATACGGCCAAACTTTTAATTTAACAAATTTTCGAGCTGACGCACATAGTACATATAAATTAATAATATTAATTATAATATTACACATATGTACTATGTAGCTCTGCAAAAATTGTTTTGGAAAATAATAAAGATAATTTATGCAAAAACAAAAATACGCTGCGTTATGATAAACACTCTAAGTACGTATTTAAATGCTTATTGTAAACCAGAAAATAATTAAGCTAAATTATGTTTACTTTTTTATATGGAAATCGCAAGGCCACGCTTAACTGTAGACATTTATAGTTTAAAAAAGATTTAAAATAAAAGAAAGAAAGAAAAAAATTAAATAATAGTATTTTTGCCACTTTTATTTTCTTCTTAGGTTTTTGAGTTTTTTAAAAGAAAATTTTACAATTTTAAAATTTAAAATTCATAAAATAAACAATTCATGCTTTTTCATTATCTCGAAATTCTTTTAAGACCTACGTAAGTACTTACGACCATAAATACAGTTATTTACGCATATTCAATATAAAATTATAGCAACATTTACAGCCAATTATATTTTACATTGTATAAGTAAAATTTATCGACGCTTAAATAAGGCAATTTATACATAATATACATAACATACATAATATACATACATACATAAATACATGCCAGCTATGCGCAAGAGAATTATTGCCACAGCAAATATAATACATAAAAAAAGTACTTAAGCGTATATATAATGCTTATAAAAGATGCGTACATATATATGTACATATGCATGTAAATAAAATGCTGCAACTCTCTCCAAACTAAGAAAATATATTCACAAATAATAAAGAAAAAAAAAAATTGAGAGCTTTTCATACACTTATGTACATACATGCATACATACTTATAATCGTATAATATATAATATAAATAAATAAATACATTAATAATGCAATAAATAATTTGGAATTTTCTTATTTGCCTTTGATTGGAATATTCGCAAAACTCACCTGCTTCAGCAATAAATCACTATTCGCCGACAGACATGTCACCAAATATTTGGTTAAATTCAAAAACGAACCCAAAACTTCTAAAGTCAAATGTTCGCGCGACGAACGTTGTAACATAAACGAAATGACTAGGAATCCGCGATTCTGTATCATATGTTGTTGTACGGTTTGTGACGTCTCGACCAATTCACAAATGAAACCCAAAAGTTTCGAACTGAAAGAGAAGTAAGAGTTAGAGTTGGGTAGGATAAAGAGAAAAAAATTGTGGCATATTAAAAAAGTTTTCAAACTGTTACATGTAAACAAAGGGAATCGAATATAATGAGCTTTTGAACGAAGCGAAAATTTAAATAACATTAAAAATTAAAACATAAAACTCTTCTGACTAGCCATGCATATTACTGTGCATATATTATAAAATATATAAATTTATTTAATTTATTTATGTTTTATTTTTTTTTCTATTTCATTTTTGATTTTGTTAACTTTTATTTATTTTTTTTAATTTTATTTTATTATATTTTATTTTATTATATTTTATTTTATTATACTTTATTTTATTTTATATTATTTTATTTCATTTTATTTTATTTTATTTTATTTTATTTTATTTTATTTTATTTTATTTTATTTTATTTTATTTTATTTTATTTTATTTTATTTTATTTTATTTTATTTTATTTTATTTTATTTTATTTTATTTTATTTTATTTTATTTTATTTTATTTTATTTTATTTTATTTTATTTTATTTTATTTTATTTTATTTTATTTTATTTTATTTTATTTTATTTTATTTTATTTTATTTTATTTTATTTTATTTTATTTTATTTTATTTTATTTTATTTTATTTTATTTTATTTTATTTTATTTTATTTTATTTTATTTTATTTTATTTTATTTTATTTTATTTTATTTTATTTTATTTTATTTTATTTTATTTTATTTTATTTTATTTTATTTTATTTTATTTTATTTTATTTTATTTTATTTTATTTTATTTTATTTTATTTTATTTTATTTTATTTTATTTTATTTTATTTTATTTTATTTTATTTTATTTTATTTTATGTTGTTTTATTTTATTTTATTTTATTTTATTTTATTTTATTTTATTTTATTTTATTTTATTTTATTTTATTTTATTTTATTTTATTTTATTCTATTTTAATATGTTTTTATTTATTTATTTTATTATATTTTATGTTATTTTATTTTATTTTATTACATTTTATTAAATTTTTTTATTTGATTATTTTAGCTCATTTTAATTTATTCCCAATTATAATATTATATTAAATTATTTTTTACGTTTATGCTCACTCACCATAGCGTTGGATCGCGTTTTACATCACTTATACCCTCATGCGCCATATCCAGTTGCGAGAACAATGGAAATAGCACTTGTATACCACCAATGGAATTTAATGTACAATGTATTGAGTGTGTAACGACAGCTTTGACATCCTGAATATGAGAAAGGAGCAAAATAGTACATAGTTTAGTGAAAGGTTGAAAAACAAAATAAAATAAAATATCATTAAACCAAAAATAAAGACAATAAATTCAGGAAAACTCTATTAAATATTAATTTATATTCGAATAATATTTGCATTATGTATATTTTAAATGAATTTCCCTGGAATCTCAGCTTTGTACTGAGCTCATATTTCACATATCACTTTTTTTATTTTTCGTATTAATTTAGCATTAAAAAAGATATTGGCTTACGGATTCGAAAGAACTGTAAAGAGGGGTAAGGTAATGTATACATTTTGTTAAGGATATGAGTTATTTATATATTGAAAAGTTCAAAAAGAAACATTGTGGTTTGAGGAGCACATAAAAATATCGAATAATAATTTCTTTCTTCAGATTTTCGGTATTAAATGCATGGATAAATCTCTGCGTTGTTATTATGCTTTTGCAGCATTTGTTATAAATTACAGAGATTTCAAAAAGGATTTTAAATTCTTTATCAAAATATAAACCTTCAAAGCAAGTAATTTGTTATCTGTTTTTTGGAAAATTCGATTTCATTTGAATACAGCTTCAAATTACATTATTGTGCTCTTCTAGTATTGAATGCTTTCAATTTTGAATACGTTTTTTTTTAATCAATAAAAATATATGCTAAAACGAAATATTGAAATCATTTACTAAAACCTGTATTCATTAACATTGCAGTTGCTAGATCAATACATTTATACGACCAAGGGCGCTCGTGACTAACAGTTGAGAACAAATATCAACCACTTCCAAATTGCATAGAGTTCAGAGCACAGCACGCTTATGTGTTAGTGAATCATTCACTAACTGAGGTGATGAATGTTCTCTTCCATCTACTTCTCACCTTTTGTCTTCATAGAGATTGATAACACCACTTGAACTGAGTTAAGTTTGCAAAAGGTATCTGAATGGAAACTGATAAGCCATGGCAATAATAATATCTCAAGACGGTTCAGTCCACCAGCAAGTAGTGGTCCAACCTACTACATAACCTTCACTGTTTTCATGATATACAATATTTAAGATATAAAAACCAATGATTTAAGGTAGTACCAACACACGTGGATTCGATGCACTCTTATGCAGATGGGTACAAACGGGATAGCGCTGTTGGTGGAGGAGTCTAATTATCTCGGTATCTCGGTATTAGCAAATCCTCTTGTCTCTCGGATTATTGTACAGTATTGTAGGCTGTGATTTCCACTTGTAAGGCCATTATCAGAGATTTATTCAAAGCCAATGCTAACTAAAGATGAAGGACACTTTATTGTTGCAATGTGACGAGAGTAACATGGCTAACACAGAAGTTATCGCTGGTAGCAAAGGGAATTTCCATAATTATCTGTCTTCTTCGGGACATCTACATAAAGTGAGGCTGAGCGATTGTAAAACGACATCAGCGAGAATTTTTGAGATAAAAAACTTGAAACCCAAAAGCACGTCTTTTGCGAATGCCCGCAATTCGTCGGAATAGGTTAATGTTACTGGGGAGTAAATCAGTGAATGGACAGATATTGTACATCGAATAATAAGTTTTGCAAACTTCCATGCATACGCTTGACTAGAGGGTGAGGTCAGTAAAACTCTTGATTTGCCTAAGAGAGCTGATGTTCAGCAACGACTTCAACCTAACCTAACATTTCCTAAATCTTAAATTCAAAGTAATTCCTTTAGATTGAAAAAATGCGGGCGCGCTTAAAAATAAATTGGTTTACTCAACAAACGAAATATTTTGATGCATATTTTATATTGCACCGCGGCGGTGTTAGAAGAAAAATCACTTTCCAAAAATGTCCATAGGTTCCTTCAATTTAAAATATTTTATTGTTGTAAATTAAATTTTTTTCTATTAAAATATGAAACTAATAAGATATCAAAACATAATTTTATTGGCTTTCTTTCCACAAAAAATTCTTGAAAAAAACGTATTTTTTTTGGCTTTTATCTTTTTTTTTCTCTTTTTCTAATATTTTTTTCTTCTTTTTTGTAATATTTTTTTCCATATTTATTTTCAATTTTTTTTTTTAATATATTATTTTTCAATTTTTTTTTTTCAATATTATTTTTTCAATATTTTTTCCAATATATTTTTTAAACTTCTTTTGTAGTATTTTTTTATTTCTTTTTTTGTAATATTTTTTTTCAATGATTTTTTCCTTATTTGCTCAAAACTTATTCCATATTTTTTTTCAATATATTTTTTTAATAACTTTTTAAATTTTTTTCAAAACTTTTTTCAAGACTTTTTTTCAATATTTTTTTTCATTATTTTTTTCAATATTTTTTTTTTTTCAATATATTGTTTTTTATTTTTTTCAATATTTTTTTTCCTAATTTTTTTTGTAATGTTTTATTCAATATTTTTTTTCTAATTTTTTTGTTTTATATTTTTTTTTTCAATATTTTTTTCCTATTTTTTTTTTCAGTTTTTGTTTCCAATATTTTTTCAATATTTTTTTTCTATATTTTTTCCATATTTTTTTTTTAATTTTTTTTTTTGAATTTTTCTTTTCAATACTTTTTTTTCAATTGTTTTTCAATATTTTTTTTACAATATACAAGAGTATGTATGCTCTTTCGCTTTTCATAAACTTTTCATTTCCTTGATTCAGTCCAGACAAAATGTTTATTTCTAAATTCATTTCTACAAATTCTTTGTATGCTTTCGTTGGCTCTTATTATGCACATAAATTTACTTATTTACTCTCACTAAAAGTCATAAGTATTTGTGTTGCAAAGAATTTGAGTTGAGTACTCACTCAGTAGAAGATGAACCAAAAGCCAAGGGTTTTTTGGTTTCAAATATTTTTATCAAATTTTTACATAATTTTTTATTATTTGTCTTCGGTGGTTGCTTTTTTGTGTTTCTACTACTTAAGTATGTAAACATATAACTGCAGATGTAACTTTTTTCGTATATGTGTGCAGGTAAATATTACCGTTACTCACCTGTAACATAAGTGCATGCGGTGTATGTACAAAATATGAAACATTTCCTTTCGGTGCGGATTGCAGACACAATTGACCATCGGTTGCCACTGGATTGTACATGAATACGATGGCATTCGACAGTTTACCATCGTAGAGCACCTGTATGCGGTATACATACACACATAATATTTGTAGTTCACATTTGAGTTGTTGCGGCGGCAGAGAGAGAGAGAACATTTAATAGAAGAAATATTTAAAGAATGTTAGTAAATAAATAAAGTAAATAAAATAGATATATGCGTGTGTATTTGTGTATTTACATTAATATTAGTACACATGTAAGTAAATATGTTTTTATTTTTTCTTCATAGATATATTTGTGTGTGTATGTCATAGTTGAAGGACACAAGTCGCTGTACATTTAGGCGTTTGAAATGACGGTGCGCTTGCGAATTTGTGCTGCTCAGCTCGATTTGCTGCTCAATTTTCGGTTTGCTTTGCAAAAATTTATTTAAAATTTTTTTTTTTGCAATTTAATTTTTAGCGCTTTGACACTTTTATACATTTGCACAAATTATGTATGTACGTATATGACAGTTATTTTGCTGAATTTTTATATTTTAATATTATTTTTTATTTTTGTATAAATAGACGAGAAAAAAAATTATTACAGTAACGTAAAAATTGAACAAAGTCATAATAATAAAAGCTGCTGTTGTTGCAAAAAAGCTTACATTGAGAAATAAAATAATAGAATAAAATTCCATTTAATTACACGTGGCAGGTGTAACGGTTAGTAATTTTCACACTACATAAAAATTAAATGTCAAAATAATAAAATGAGTTGACAACGGTTTTTTCGCAATTGCCACGACCTTTGCGTGGAATATTATTATTATTTTTTTTTAATTTTTAAAAGTAATTATTAATAAAGTTTTATGTGTCTCTGTGCTGGTGCTTATATAATAAAATAAAATAGTAATAGTTAAATTATATATTTTTATGCGCCCTTTTCCAGCAAAGTGACATTTATGACTTGTGTGGCATATTTGCTGTGAAAAAAAAAATATTTTTGAAATCCTAAATGTGTTTTAAATATATATAGTTTTTACTTCTAACGACTAAAACAAGCACTGGTCACATTTAAATGTGAAAAAAAATGGCTAAAATTTGTACCAGAAGAAACGATAGGGCACTGATAAGCCATAACGTTCCCCGAAGATGCCTATCAATCTAAGTTGCACTCATTCTCAATTGTATGATAAACAAAACTTGTTTCTGAGCTCAGATATCAGCTCAAATTTCTACTGCTCAGTCATACATACATATACATATACATAAGCCAGTATGTACATATGTAAAATACACGAGGGTAATCGTTAAGCTTCTTTTCTTCAATTTCGTAATTTGCAATTTGCAATTTGCAATTTGCTTTCTCCCTCAACATTTCACGCTGGACTAGGCATAATACTTGAAATAAGCCCCTACCGACACACACGCACGTATGTACATATACATATACATATATACATGTTTAGTCTTAAAATATTTAGTCGTTATACATGTACATATGTATTCAGTAGAAAGAAGAGAGAATTATGTTGGAAAATACTTGTATTGTAGTGTAGTGTAGAGCAAAGAGGTTTAGGAGCAAAGCCAAAGTATGTTGGAATGTATTGGAAGTGGAAAAGCTGCAGTGTAAAGCACTCAAGTGCTTAATTGCTTTCGAGTGCATAATCGATGCAAGAGCTCGATAATGTATATATATGTAATTATGGCAAAAATATTGTATTTAAAAGCGCTGTATAACATATATATGTATATATAGGTATATGCACCGATGCTTAAATATAATTGCTGCCATTGACTTAATTATGGTTGTTGGGAAATTAATAAAAAAATATGTACAAGGTTTTTACCTCAATTAAAGTCACTGCTTTAGAGTTTCTTTTTTTAAGAGAAAATGTGGTAAATAACAAATCACCAAAATTAAAAAGAAATAAAAAAAATTGAAACAAAATAAAAAAGTTTAAATAAAATAAAATAAAATCAAACAATATAAAATAACGTATATTAACATAAAAACAGAAAATTGAATAAAACAAAATACAATAATTAAAATAAAATAAAATTAAACTAAATTAAATAAAAAAAATAAGCTTAAATTTAAATAAGTAAAATAAAATTAAATTAGGTGAAAATAAAATAAAATAAAATAAAATAAAATAAAATAAAATAAAAAAACAAAATACAATAATTAAAATAAAATAAAATTAAACTAAATTAAATAAAAAAAATAAGCTTAAATTTAAATAAGTAAAATAAAATTAAATTAGGTGAAAATAAAATAAAATAAAATAAAATAAAATAAATAAAATAAAATAAAATAAAATAGAATAAAATTAAACAAAATAAGATAAAATTAAAAACGTTTTTTGCGCATATATGCAACAATTATTTTATTATGTTACAATTTAGCAGCATAAAAATATAATAGTAAGAGAAATTGAAATTTTTAATTTTGACAATAAAATCGAATTTAATCGCAATTTCAACACAACAACAATAAAGCAATAGACTTTACAATTATTTCAAATTAAATTCCCTATTTTCCATCAAAAAAAGAATCAGCTATACTTTTGCCTTCTATTGCAAAAGTTTCCAACTCTTATCGCACACAGCCTGCTGTACGCCCTGAAGTATGCCAACAATTTCCACTAAAATGCAACTCAATGCAGGCACGTAGACACAGTACATAGGTACGCATAAGTGTACACGCCTACAAGACACCGAGCAGTGTACGTGCAGTAGGTACTAGGTCTCAAAGGCCAACTGAAGGACGCAAGTTTTTGCTATGTGCATTTGTGTTCAGTTGTGTTTGTTTGTATGTATGCGCGTGCAATGAAACGAGCTCGCATTGAATGCTCTAAGCATGCGTTTCTCATTCAACTGGAATTCCAAGCAAAACACACTCGAGAGTTAAGCCAAACATAATATAAATATATACATATATATATATAGGCAGGTAGAGAAGGTACATATATACATATACTTATGCAATTGAAAGGCATGATGATGTGGAAGAAAAGCGATGTGGCAGCCAGCACGCTCGGCGCCTCATGGCAACTCAATTAATTGCAAGCGCGTGAATTTCATGCTCTAATAATTTCAATAATTGAAAAAAGTGAAAAACAAGTGAAATATCCTTGTATCCTTGGATCCTTGTACTTATGTTAACTACTAATGTGCATACTTTTGTAAGTGTGTGTATATGTACGTATTTGTTTGTTTGTTTGCGTATTTGCACATGTGTTGGTGCAAAGCATTGCAACTCGATTTTTTCCACTTCGCATTGAAAGTTATTTGTTGCAATAAGTGTTCGTTTAGTTTTACAGTTATTCTGTTTTGCTTTGGCATAACATTTAAAAAATTTTTCTCGCACATTCTCTCTTTTCTGCTCCCTTGCTATCTTCAACAATTTACATCAGAGATTTTGTTTTGTTAAACTTTTAATTGCTTCGCCTGTTAGGGTGCCTCACATTCACATACATAAATACAATACATTGAATTTTTGAAAAGTTTTTGGAGGACTTTTGCCGACGGGAAACAAATGGTCAGAAGAGGCGAATGTAAAAAAAGGGTTTGGAATGATAGAGTGCGAATATTTATATACTCTCTAAAGACAGGTTGCTTACATTCAGTATTAAAGCAACACTTAATAGAAATAAATGTACATAGGATACATAGTTGAAAGTAAAACTTCAAAGAAGAGCGAGAGAAATCGATTTAACGACAATATTAAAAAATAAAATATTTTTGTTTTATAGGAAATTTACGTCTAAGAAGATTCTGCACAACAGCCTACAATAGTTCCACCAGACCATAATATGAAATAAAATAAAATAAAATAAAATAAAATAAAATAAAATAAAATAAAATAAAATAAAATAAAATAAAATAAAATAAAATAAAATAAAATAAAATAAAATAAAATAAAATAAAATAAAATAAAATAAAATAAAATAATTTAAGATTAAAAACATAAAATGAACTCCAATAAAATAAGACAAAATTGAATAAAATGAAATAAATTGAAATTAAATAAAACTAATTTAAAATAATCAAATTAAACTCCCGCATTGATTTCGCAAACTTTGGAATTTTATGTTTCCTAGTGGGCTTACTCTAAGATAGATAATTAGAAGACATCAGTGAGTTCTACGAAATGTTGTTGTATGAACTCAAGTGTATAAGATTAAATTAATTTTATTTTTTATAGTAATTGTTAATCGGACTAGTGAAAAATGTGCTTTAAATGGACCCCTTTTGGACTCAAAAGGCCACCGAGAACTCTACTTTCCCACTGAAATTTGATGGGATCGGCTTAAGACACTACGAAATTCAAAGTCATATGAAAAAAATTTAATTTTAGTTTAAACCAAAATTGCTCAAACGTAGTGATTTTATCATCAATTTTTTATTCAAAAAAAAAAAAAAAATTAAATTAAGTGTGAAAAAAATTTAATCTTTAGTCCAAATCAAATATTAGTAAAATTTTTAATTTAATCAGTGAATTTCCAATGAAATAAGCATTACAAATTTTTAAGCCACACACACATAGACGCATTTAACTATGCCTTACATATACATACAATGAATGTATATATGTATAGGAATGTTGAGTGGTAAGCACACGAATATGATGACAAAAAAAGAAGTGAAAATGTTGGAAAAATTAAAAGAAGAGCTTCACATACATTTGTATATACACACATGAAACATAAGAAATAAGAATATAAAGAGAAAAAAGAATATCAAAAAATATATCAAATGCTTACAGCTTTAAGCTGATTAATTTCTTCGGTCTGATTGGTGTAGCCCCTCAGAAGCTCTAAACTGGCAGCGGATGTAGCCGAGATGCGACGCAATTGTTCTAAAGAAAGACGTATAGCCATGCAATAAAAAAAGAAAAAAGATTAAAAAGAAAAATAAAAATACAAAAATTAAATTAAGTGAAAATCTTCGAAAAGCGAAATAAAAATAAAACGCAAACAAAGCAATAAAATAATAAATTAAAACAAACAAATACCAAAAGATGTATTTCCGGTTGGCAAATGACACAAAGGATCTGTGATGATTTTGTTATTATCATTGGCACCGCCACCGCCACCGCCAATATGTTGATTGTTGTTTGCGCTCGTCGCTGCATTACTTCCGCCAGCGCTGTTGGCATTCATTGACGATGCTGAGGGTGTTGGGGCCATACCACCAACAGCACCACCACCAGTCATCGTAGAGCCGCTGGCAGTCCCATGATCGTCTACTACTACTACGCCACCCAAAGCATTTAGCACTGCATTCGCAGAGGCATTTCGTGCTGAGAGCACAGCGCGTATTTTTGCAAAGGCCGCAGTCAAATCGAGCTTCTCATCGGACCAATCGATGGCTTGAGCCTCTTGTTCAGCAAGCAGCACCGTCGTTGATATTGTTGTGTTGTTGTTATTGTTGTTGCCATTATTCTGACTCACCCGTTTGTGATTGTCCGGCAGATTCAGATAGCACTCGTTGTCGAAACGAAATTGTGACTTCGTTGTGAAATACGATGGGAAACGATGTGGTCGATGTTTGTTGTGAGTTGAGAAAAATTTTGAGTAAAGAGAAATTTCACATGATAGTTTAGATTATTTTTAGTGTTTGAGTTTGAAAAAAAAAAAAATGGTTGCTTAGAATTTTTTAGTTAGTAAATTGAAAGTATTTAGATGTAATTTGAGAAATATGTATTTAAAAAAAAAAAAAAAAAATAATAATATTTGTTGCTTTAATGGTTTTTTAGACATTTTACACAGTTAGCGTTATGTTTTCATTGCTTTTGTTGTAATATTTGTATTATATTGTTGTTATATATATAATTAAATATTTATAGAAGTGCGTAGGAAAAGCATTACGCGTTATTTAAAATGTAGCTTAAAAAATAGAAACACAACAAAATGACTGTGGTGAATAAAATTGCTGTTGCTACAATTAATTATTTCACTAAAATATAAATAATAAAAAGAAGTAGACGGCACAACTTTTCAAATATTACACCGATTTGAATGCGCTTACACTGAAAAATGTAGAAAAGCCAGTGCGGAATGACTACTAATTTATTATTAGTATTTTTGTTGAATTAAAATGCCTCGATTGCATATTCACCACCAACTCACCTTATAACCGGGCCCCAGTCGGTGCATTGCACAAATCTGTTGTGTTGTCAGCGCTTCGCTGAATAGGTAAATCGCCGACATTTGTCCGCAAAAAACACGCTCCTCATCCAGTTCGGGCGTTGCGCCGATGTAACACTTATCGAATGGCTGCAAAGAGTTGAATGAGAGCATATTACTTCGTCGAAGTGCAGTTGTATTTGTAGTATAAAGAGAGTCGTATACTCACATCGTTTGTGGAAACGAACCACGCCATTTCGGTACTGGACGCCAGTTGTCCATTAACGAGGCACTTTATTTCGCTTTTCGTCCAACGATTATATATGTACACTATAGCAATCATGTACCACTGTAAGAGGCAATAAAAAAATAAATATGTATTAAAAAAAAAAAAGAGCGCAAGTGGAGTAAATTCGAGAGAACTATGCAGGGAAAATTTTAACTATTGGATAAGAAAGGGAGCATAAGTAAGCTGTAGGTAACAGATGCTGCCCCATATCCGGAATCGGAGAATTATAGTAGTAAACAAATGTGAATGGCCTAAAATCCTGAGTAATGGTTCCGGGACCAAATTGAGAAGCGGCGTTAGTAGATATACCGAAATGACGACGTTTCTTTATGGTGAGTTGAGAATGGTGAACACCGAGATGGATGCAACGATGAGCTGTATAAGATTTACGGCTAGGTCATGTAGTCCGGTTGGGATAAGAATACTCCAGCTCCGTAAGTTTCTGCTGTATTTGGAAAAATGTAATGAAAGAAACTGGCTATACTTGGTATTTCCATCGCGTAATCGGTGTCTTCACAATTAAAGAAGAATATACTGATAAACTTGGAATTCGATTTTTTAATTTTGCCCAATATAACCGATAGCTGTGTATAATTTACAGCATATCGCTCTGAACGTTACTAACAAGTCATTTATCGATCCCACTACGGAGAGTGGAAGAGTTGAAGGGAGAAGCGAACCTCACCCGGAAAACATAGAAGCCGAATGAGTATGAAAAATTGGCCGACAGTGGTAATGAACACAAGATTAAAGCTTATTTATGTATGACTCGAGGAAGTGTTCTGGTGAGGGATGATAAAAGAGACTCCTCCCATACATCAAATCTTAGGACAAAAAACGGTAAGGCAGAGGCTAGCTTTGATTTTAGGTGAGATTAAGTCGTAGAGTTTACCAATGGTGTGGTTGTTGTTATTATTGTAACCGCAAAAATACTGCCCAAAATAGTTTTTGGGGAATGTAGCGGGAGTGGCAGTTCATGGCCGTATAAAAATCCGACTGTTGGATTTTAGTTACCTCTTACGACAGTCATGACTTCCCGCGAGTAAATTCTTGAATCCTTAACACGCAGGGTATATAGTCTACCGATATCTCGTATCGATTACTTTTACACAAAAAATTGTTCATCAGGCTTTGATTACCTAATGATCCTCTTTACCTTCGGTATACCATCAAGCAGTAGGGCCTTAAAATTCTAATACCCTGCTCAAAGCGGGATTATCACTTAAGAGATGGGTGAACGTATCTTTCTGTTAAATTTAATACCCCCAACTGTCGTCAGTACCGAGAAGGGACACACTGAGTTGTCCATACCTAACGTGGTTTCAGACTTCTCATCGTGGAATATGTCTGCCGTCATCAAAACCAACTACCAACGCGTCTTGGTTCCCAAATCACTGCTGAGAGTCTTAACTTTAGAGTCATAGATGATTTCGTTTGTATACAAAAGGCCATTAAAACCAACCATAAAAAAATACAAAAATTCTTTCCTAAAAAAATTGTCTGGGTCCACTCCGATACCTAAAATCAGCTGAGGTGGGAGTCATACACTTCTAGCTATTGTCTTAAGCAACTTGGCGTAACTCTCAACACCTGACACAGGATTTTATTCTCCTTCGAGTAGTAACTGCTGGCATATTACTTCCAAAAATCTTGCTTTTAAGCATCTTTATAAAGCTGAACTACCCCCAGGCCCATTGAGAAGAGATTAATTAATTTACTTACTCCTATTAGTACTTTATTACTGAACTACTAAGCAGGTTAAGCTATCGATAAGACCAGGACGCCAACGGTTGCCTTCATCTAAGTAATCTGACCACCCCCAGCCATAGCTGTCGAAGCACTCGAGCTGACCAGCAACATCCGAGTAACTAGTAGAGTGTAGCTTTTGAAGCAGACTCAACTACTACACATCCAGAGTCGGTACCGATATACCAAACATATGTACTACATATAATGAGCTGTCGCACGACACTAACCGACTCTTTGCATGATCGCTAAAATTTATTTCTTTAATTACTCTCTCCCTCTAGTCCGAGCTAGTCGGAAAAACTCGTTTAGTGAGCTTGTTTTAGAAATGACTTTGCATTTTTTCTGCTACCCGGAGGATTTAGTAAGCTACTTGAACAACAACAACAATAATAACTAAAACTAGTTCTTGGGCGATATTCATAAAGAGATAAATAATATCTGTGCCAACTGTCTCGCTATAATCGGCATATTTGGACAAAGCGCACGAGGTACCTTATGAGTACTGCGAAATTCCAGAGCCCATATAGCAGTTACAATTTTTACGTATACCAACAGGAGTCCACAGACAAAATCTTAGACCTTTTTGCTTTTGTTCTAGAACTGGCTCATTCAACACGGTTCTCCCGATCGTAACAGCACTTTTGCTATGTTTCTCCTTTGATTAATTTAATTATTTATTCTAGGCCTCAAGCGGAATGGAAGCCGAAGTTTATCTAGCCAAATCAATCCGCCCAAAATGAAGGGAAACCATTCCAACATTGAAAGATTTTAACCTTGTAGCCATTGGTAGAAGTTGATGAAGACATTAACCACATTGGAGAGTGTAGCGTGCACTAGTTCCTTTTTTCCTTCAATTGACGCCAAACAGCGAAAGAATGAAGAAGAAACCGAGTCATAACAAGTACGACTCAATGAAAAAAAAAACCAAAAATTTTTTATTTGAGAACTTGTTGTCTAAAGGAGAGCAAAACTTCAAACCGAACTTCTATCTTGCCGCCGCAAAATATGTAAAATAAAGTATAGCATTTTTACAAGCAACACTCCTTCGAAAACCTTGTCAAATCTTCACGTAAAAGCCAATCAGCAATTCACAAAGAAGCTCAAATAGTCAACATACGAAACCTCTAACTACTAACCATAGAAATTTTCCATAACAAAGTGCTACTTGTAAATGGGCCAATTAAATCGAATGATTGTACATTTTCATTAAATCGCCAAAGCCTCCCTCACCCACCCGAAAATATTTCTACACTTTGTATAAAAGCATGAATATCATATCCCCCTTAAGAGTCAAATGAGAAAATTGTCGAATACTCTCAGTCAGTGCATCAAAATCAAATTCCACTCTACTCACCTTTCTCGGCTGAAATTCATATTTCACACAATGTTGGAAACCTTTGCCTTTGACTTTCATCGATGTAAGCACCAGACAATTGCCAACAAAATGAGCTGTGTAGCCGACGCCTTTCGATGTTTTAAAACTGTAAGAAGAGAAAAGTAAGGAATAGAATGGTATAAAATTGAAACAAAATTTTTGCTCAAGTATTCGAATATAAGTGTGTGTGTGTGTGTGTATGTGGGAAATGAGAGCGACAATAGCCAATGAAGCCAATGAAATCAGAAATTTTGAGGGAAATGAATGAAGTGAAGAAGAAAATGAAGCAAATTAGTTTCAAATGGCTGCCAGCAGCATGCAGCGGAGAAGAGTAGACAAGAGAGGAGAGTTAAGTATAATACAGGGTAATACATTTTGCTGTTTTGGAAATTAAAAATTTATTTTTTTTTTATGTAATTCCTTTTTATTATTATATTATTTATATATTTTATTTTGTGTTTTGGCATCATATGTATGTGAGACACTACTTCCTTTACGTACGCGAACTTTTGCATACTTCGAATCGTTTGAGCTAATTTTTGTCAACTTTTTGGCACATATTGTGCGGCATCTCAGCCATAACTTGATAAACCTTGGTTTCAAAGTGCTCAAGGGTTAAAGTTTATATCCGCATAAAAGCAGTCTTTCGCGTAGCCTCACAAAAAAATAGTCCAACTATGTCGAGCCGCATAAGCTCCGTGTTCAATTAACATCGCTAAGATGAGAGATTACGCGGTCGGATATTCTCTCTCGCAATAAAGCGATATTCGCTAGCGTTGTGTGACAGGCCCCGAAAAGACAGTGACAGTGTCGCCGTTGTCCGAAGCAAAGAGCGCACTAGGAAGTAAACAGTAGTGAGCTTCTCTACCGAGCATTCTCGGAGCATTAAATGTGCAAATTTTGCTAATTTACGCATCGCCTTAGCTCTGAAGAAAATTTTGTGCAAAGAATCGCCGATTACTAAGCGATTCATTTTTCAAAATGCTTGAAATTTAGCTGGAACAAAACATGTTTAGTTTGACAATTTAGTTTGGCACATGTAAAATTACAACACAGTACTTTTGAAACCACGAAATGGTTAATCCTTTACATAGTAAATAGGAATGGCATAAAAGCTCTAACTAACGGTCAGTTGAGCGGGAGCGGAATTAATGAATTGCAAATGGCGGCAATATTTCAAATTAATTAAATCAAATGGTATACCATTAAGGCGGAATAATGGTAGCGAACAAAGAACGTGAAATGTAGAGAAACTGAGAAGAGTGCGACAAGCAAATGTGTAAAAGGGAATAAAAGAAATTAAAACTGTCCCCAGGAGTTGAAGGAAAAATTTTGTAAATGAAAAAAAAAAAAAATTTAACCAAAAAATTATTACAGTTATTATTATGTTGAAACATTTATTTCCATTTATGCACAAATACAATACAACAAAAGTGTACTCACCAATAGAGGTAGGGCTTTTCGCGCTCGATATTCACCGAATTAATAGGATCCAAACGAAACCACGTTGTAAATGTAAAACCATTTTCGTATGGCCATTTAGCCAGCGGCGGCAGTACCATTGCCTGTAAGTGGAGAAAGAGAAACAACAAAAAATTAGAAAATTAGAGAAAGTATCAATAAAAGTACGTGATTTTGAGTGGCTTTGAAATTTGTGACACTGTTAATTAGCTTCATTTTTGATTCTGTATAACGTTGAGAATTTTTTTTTTTTTTGATTTTGTAAAATGGTCAATTACATTTTAAGACATAGTTAACGAAAAAGATTGTGTGCTTACAATAGCTGCAGAATAGTAGTATTTTTTAATGATTGATTTTAATATGGCATAAAATGTGATTAATAAATATTTTTGAGTTCCCAAATGTAAATATCATTCATTTTTGAAGAGAAAGTGTTGGAAACGGAGCCTCTTACATTTAGTTAGTTGGCAACCCTAGGCAAGAGAACGGTGAGTTTGAGCAGATACCGCAATTAGACTTAAAATGAAGGAATGCTGGAACAGAAAACAATATAGACATAGCGATATTCAGAGCCAGTTCAAAAGATCTTTAAGTAAACATATGAACTGTAAGCCTCAGACTTAACAAAGAAACCCTTTTTTTTTGTTTAAAACCGTTTCGAGACCTAAACAAACCCTCTAGCGTCACCTTAACGCTGCAATACAACTGCTTTATTTGAGATTTCCCCGGAAAATAGACCCAAGTGGCCTCTTCATTTGAGTTAAATTTCTTCCTAGAGCATCCCATTTTTAGGTCCGCGAGCAACCAGCAGTACCTATCTTAGCTAAAGTTGGCCAAAAAAAAAAAAGTTATATGCAGACCTACAGAGAGAGAGAGAGAGAGTGAAAGAGAGGGAGAGAAAGAGAGAGGGATAAAGAGAGAGAGAAATAAATAGAGAGAGAGAAAGGGAGAGGGAGAAATAGAGATAAATTGAGAGTGAGAGAGAGAGAGGCAGAGGGAAAAAGCAAGAGAGCAAGATAGAGAGAGAGAGAGAGAGAGATGGAGATAAAGGGAGAGAGACAGAGAGAGAGAGAGAGCAAGAAAGAGAGAGAGCGACAGAGAGAGAAGCTAAAAAAACCCTTTGGGAACCACGTTGTAGAAATTATTATTCGCTGTAACAACCCAATGCAGCTGTGAACCTTGATGAGGAACAAAAAATAGCGCTAATTGAGCTCTAGATTTATAAATTCCGGTCACATTCCTGATTAAATACGCAGATTATCCGAAATTTATGGTAGGTATAGCTTTCTCTCCTGACAATAGCGATTTGCTAATCAATGTTTTTATTAGCAGAAAGCTCCAACCGCACTGAGGTATTGACGGCTGTATTAATCGAGTACTTAGCACTGCGCACCGCCATTCTGAAGACCACAGTTCGAGTCGTGATTCGACCAAAATTCAGGATTAATATTATATTCGAATTTTTTTTAAGTGTGAACGCCCTGCAACAGGGAATTTTAAGAAATCCGGGTGTATTTCTGACATGAAACTAAAGTTTCCCATGAAAATCAGTTGGCCGTTTAGAGGCGGCTTAGTATAAACTATATTATCGAAAAGGAGTCTCACATAGACGAAATCACGCACGTAGATAGTGTTGCCTATGGCTCGTACTGCAACAACACCTGTTGTATGAGCCAATTGTGGATCCAAAAAATTTACCTCACCAGTTATGATTGATCTCTGCCTATTGTCTCTGAATATTCCCCACGATTACAGCAATGACCCAAATGGAACCCAACTTTTCTTCTCGCAAACAAGAATGTAGTATTCTTTGAGTTATTAATTTACGATCCAAGAGTATTTATTGTTCACGCCTCAACTTTCTGAGTGAGGCTTGCAAGTTCGTAGCTACGCCCTGTTCCCTATTCCGAGAGGAATCCATCTTTAGACAGCTCATCAGCAATCAGCATTTATTTTGAAGTCCTTGTGCTGTATTACCCAATACATGAAGACTTTTCTTTTCTCTCTCAGCCTTTTGAGCGCCTCCTTACATAGTGAACCCGCAGCCAACTTCAAGCTGTATGAAAGTAAGGCCCTCATGGCTGTCAACAGAGCATTGTTTGCTCGTTCTATGAAAGTTACCTTACTGTAGTAGCTTTATTGCTATTTTTATGTATAGCAAATATCTGATCTCGCTGCTACAGTGATTCGGCAGACTGAGTAAACTGCAGCACTAACTCTCTGTGCCTTGATCTGAAAGGACTCCATATTTAGCCAGTTTATTATTTTTTGCTATTTTTATACTTTTGAAACATTTTACGCCTGAAACCCCCTCTCAGGCAGTCATTAAATTACATGAAGTCACATGTTCACCGCCTGCTGCCCTATAATCTCCCCCCTCTCCATGCCACTGGTGGAAGCAAACTAAGAGAATTGATTTGCAAAAATAATGCTAAAAGCGAAATATTCGAAGGCAGCGCGACCATGAAATGCAAAGGAAGGACGGACGCAAAAAAAAAGTTGATATCCAATTTTGTTGCTACTGTGAAGAAAAAAATGCAAATAACTTTTGAACTTTTGTTTGCATGAATGTGCGTGTAACATCAAACTGGCAAAACTTTATAAATTTGCGCAATCGCTACAATTTTTCCAGCCTTTCATGTATTATTTTCTATTTTATTTTCCAAATTTTGCTTAGTGATTGCGACATCAAAAAGCTGAGCTATAGACGGACGGACGGACGGACGGGCGACACAACCCTTATCAAATGCTTTTTTCAGTCACAACTTTTTTGCTCTGTCCATCAGCTAGTGGACGGCGGAGTGAATAACGGCGTTGCCAATTTCAAAATTTTCATTGCTTCATATTTCAATTTGGCTGGCGCACGTAGCAGCAGCAGCAGCAGTAGTGACAGAATTTTTTTTTGCTTTCGCCTATTTTTTTTTTCTATTTTGTTTTTGCATTTTGACAACTTTTTTATGACATACATATGTGTTTGTGTGAAGGTGTGTACGTATGTGTGCGTGTTTTCGCAATATTTCAGCGTTGTTGTTGTTGTTATTGTTGTGTTTTTGCATAACTTTCACATTGAAATATCCAAAATATTGGCAAAGTTTTGTTAGCAAAGCACCGGCGCTCGTGCAACTCCCCTGCGGCGAAAGGGAATGAATGACAAAATTGCAAATGTCTGGTAACAATGATGACAGCGGTGAGAGCAAAAATGCAAAAAAATAAAATAAAATCAAACAAGAACAAGAATAAACAAAATGTTTCAACCCAAAAGCAACAGCAATAGCCACAAAAAAGGCTGGATTGCGGTCTCTGCTGAAATGAGTTGGGAAGTTCGATGAAATTCCCTAGTAACGCATTTCACTAATAAATTGGTCAAAATTATTCCCAACTCTATTACGGACGACAGTAACAGCCGCAAAAAAAAAGAAAGAAAGAAAAAAAATATACCACAGTACAAGAATAGCTCCAGCAGCTTGTTGGTTTCGTGGCAACAATAACAACAAAAGGTTGCCATCAAATATATAGTCTATGCAACAGCCAGTCATCAGGCAGCCCAACAAGAAAGTCTAGAGTCAACCAGCCTACCGTACAACAAAAACATTTCTATTCATCCCTCCAACTTTTGTTCACCACTTTTCATTCGCTGTGGCATCATTTCGTATATTTTGGTTTGTATACTGTGTTCTTTGCTTTACCAATTTGCTTTGAATTTTAGGATTTTCAACATCATTCTCAATTCCTCTGTCAGTTATTTAAGTCTTCGGGGTATACTTAGCGTCACAAACGCGCCAAAAATTGTTTTCAGGGAGGGAAATTGATAGTTTGCAGATCGCTAAGTGATTGTGATATTACTGATGACAGTTTTTATTTGTGGAAAGTTTTTCAATGTACAGTAATGTTACATATAGGTGTGCACTGCATAAAAATGATCCGTTTTGCGCACAGCCGAGTAATGCACACCCATCTGGGAGTCAAAATTTGAAACAATAAAAGAATCAATATCAAATTTAAAAAACTAAACTGAATGAAATGGAATAAATTAAACTAAAATGAAAAAACAAAATAAAAGTTAAAACTAATTAAATAAAATTACTTGAAATAAAGTAAAATGATATACAATAATAAAATTAGAATAGCATAAAAAAATAATATAATAAATTGAATTAAAAAAAAATAAATTAAAATAAAATAAAATGATATATAAAAAATTAAATCTACTACAATAAAAAAAAAACAAAATTAAATAAAATTTAAAAAAAAAAATTAATTAAAATAATATGAAAAAATTAAATTTTATAAAATAAAATGAAATGAATTAATATAAAATAAAATAAAATCAGGCAAAAAATATTAAATAAAATAAGATAAAATAAAATTAAGTCAAATAAAACGAACAACATTAAAATAAATTCAAATAAAAAATGAAGTAAAACAAATAAATAAAAAAATAAAATAATTTAAATCAAACAAAAATAAGGTAAAATAAAAAAAATTCATATAATATAAAAATAAAATAAAAAAATTAAATTACTTTAAATAAAATAAAATAAAATAAAATAAAATAAAATAAAATAAAATAAAATAAAATAAAATAAAATAAAATAAAATAAAATAAAATAAAATAAAATCAAATAAACAGTAAAAATAAATTGAATTAATTAAAATAAAATGAGCCAAAAAAAATAAAGCAAAATAAAAGGAAATAAGATAAAATAAAATAAAATAAAGTAAAATAAAATAAATCAAAATAAAATAAAATAAAATAAAATAAAATAAAATAAATAAATAAAATAAATTAAATTAAAATAAAATAAACAAAAACAAAATAAAATAAAAAAATGAAATAAAACAGTAAAAATAAATTAAATAAAATAAAATAATATAAAATAGTTAAAATAAAATGAGCTAAAATAAATTAAAGCAAAATAAAAGGAAATAAGATAAAATAAAATAAAATAAAGTAAAATAAAATAAACAAAAATAAAATGAAATAAAATAATATACTGTCCATAGTTTGAACGTTAACAAGAAGTCTTCTCAATACAATTTTTAAAACAAAACTGAATGAATGAATTAATACACAGCGTTTAAATCTAAAAAGTTGTGAGTATAAAGAAATTATTCTCCAGTAAAAAAAAAAACAATACGAATTCCTTTGTCTAACTTTCATTATAGGCAGCATTTCCTTCCTTGTTTAATCTCTAAATTTATTTATACAATATCACTCTACAAAGTTTTCAATTAAGTCATACATAAAACTCCTCTGCGGCAATTCCATTCAAAGTAAATCATCCCACGGGTCAAATGACAATGCAAAACGATTACAATTTCGGTCACATGCCGATGTGGCAGCCAAGTAAGAACAGGCTAATGTATTTGTAACCATAAAACAAATACAAAAAGAAAAAAGTCACTAAGTGACTTTACCACTAGTAATATTAACACTGTGTCCACCAGCTCTGAACTACCCAAACTCTAATAAATAGCGCACAGATTGTGTCATAAATCATAAACTTCATTTCCTTTCGATTTTTCTGCAGTAACAACTAAGAAGAAGTGACTAGATATTGATTTATGATCTTGAACTAACACTTTGGCAAAAACAAAGTAAGCTAAATTGCACACGAACACAATACCCACTTTTGGTTCGACACACACGTTTGATTCTTTATATTGCATCGCATTGGAAATGTGTATATGAATGTATGTATGTATATGCTACTCTTAGCCTTACCGCATGTTCAGTTTAGTTCATCCTTATTGAGAAATGTGCATGTTGCACACAAACCTTCGAAAGGAGTATTATTGCTTGCTCATAGGCGTTGGGGCATGAAAAAAAATGAAAATAGTGAACTTATAGCATTGTCATGCTTTGGATTTTCGTACGCAAAACATAGAAGCAGTGAAGGGTTTTCTTCGATTTTGTGTTGCAACTGTTGGCGGTTGGTTTTAGGATCATAATTGAAAACATGACTTCTGTTTAACAAGTAAAAAGCGATGAGAAACTGAGAAAGTGTAATTTAAATATTCTGATCTTTGAAATATACTCGATAAGTGTAATGAATAGAAAATTACTTAGAATTTGACGAGGACTTTTCAGTACTATTTTATATCAATTTTTTACATTTAATTTTACTTTATTTTATTTTATTTTATTTTATTTTATTTTATTTTATTTTATTTTATTTTATTTTATTTTATTTTATTTTATTTTATTTTATTCTATTTTATTGTTTTCGTTAACTATTTCATTTCGAAAAATAGGTCGTCATTTTGTATTTGAAAAATTTCAGAATTCAAGTGTTCTATAGATATGTATAAATTCCCAACAATTAAACAAAAGCAAAACACAAACAGAAACCTCCAGCGCCTATACGGACCATTGCACACTTTTTATTGTTTCCTTTTATTGACAGAAATAATCAACATGACTTCATACATGGAGATGCGGAGATATACAGATACAGAGCAGACAGACTAATCCATCCGCAAATAAATATACAAGTAAACGCCTGGCGGCGCATTTGAAATTCGATTTGTGCGCGAATCTTTGCCCATAAAGTGGCAAATAAAAATGAAATGGAAATAAAAGTAAACATTTCGCCACATGATGATGTAATAAAAAGGCGATGCAGCAAATGGACTCGAATAAAAAAATAATAAAAATAAAAAATGCATAAAAATGGCATAACATATTCGCAGCAATTGCTTTGAAGAATACCTACAACTGCACATGCACAACAGATTGAAGGAATGGACATACGATCGCAGTTACACGAAAACAATCACACATACAACTACATATATATTAATAATGTAACACGGAATTACTTGGCATAACGAGAAAATTGCGCCCCAACAGCTGAGTCAGGGTGAAGCCTTGAATTTCTACTATAAAGCGAGATGTAGCCTTAGCAGTGTAAATACGAGTCGGAATGTAATGTAAACAATCTTGTAAATTATGCTGCAGTAAATAAAAGATTAAGCAGCAGCATCAGCAGCAGCACCAAGGGGGAAAGCAGTTTAGATACGGCCCAACGAAGTATGTACACGGCATTAGCAGCAATAATATGTGTATGCAGTGGAAAATAAATCCTACTGGGCAATTTATTTACTGTATGTGCATAAATTTTACTTTGAAATATTTAAATTCTCGTGTATTCAGTAAGAAAAGTGAAGCCAAGTATTTTTATATGAAAATGTGATTATAAATAAGATGAACTTACCGATCCTTTTCGTCCTGGAAAACTAAAAAACACATCCGGTCCATTACGATGTGGCATTTGACGTAAGACATTCAACAATTTGGCGGAGTGTCGTGGCCATTTGCCATTTACCGCTTTCATTGTGCCAAAGAGTAGTTTGAGCTCTTTAACTGTTATGCTGTAGCTGGCGAGTACACCCAACATTTCGATGAGCAAATCTGTAAAATACAACAAAGACACATGAAAGGATTATATATATACCGCTATATTGGTCTCTATAAATGATATCCGTAAATATCTTCTGAAGAATCAACTTTGATTTTATTTAATTTTAACAGAGTCTCAACTCCGTGGATATCAATGGAAAGAAAGAACAGTTGTTTTTGTCGCGGCTGATTAAACCCCACCGAGAAGCAAGGAAAACTAGTCTATGTAGTTAAGTCTTCTAATGAGAGTACCAAGAAACGAGCTATTTCCACGGGTTCGGGAAACCCGTGAGAGAGAGACAAAAGTATTAAACTTGTTAGTTTTAGTGCGCCGAAATCTAATCTGAATAAATAGGGGTTGAGTATATTAATATCTCGCCTTTAACATCAATTCCCGCTTAGGATTTTTGATTTATTATTATGTGCATTGGTTCTGTTCTGTGGTGCTGAGGGCAGCTCGTTAGATCCAGGACTGCGTTCCTGATGTGCCAGCTGGTGGTTTGGCTTGCAGTTATTGGCTGTTAAAATGGTACATAGGAAAGGCAGTGTTGTGTCGGGCTTTTAGCTTCATCAACTGCGCCTCACTAAGGTCTGGGTTCTCATCGATGGAGTGAAATTATTGCCAGCCGGTCAATTGTCTTATAATTTGATAGCAAAGCCAGCGATTTGATGATTTCGTCGTGGCTCTCTAACGAGTGAAGAAATCGAATGAAATTAACAGTAACTTGGTGTTCTTAGTTGTTGAAATTTTGACATCATCCACTTTTGCATTAAATCCAAGCCGGTAATTTTTCTTCTTCGCCTCTATTTTTACACTTCCTTTTATACACTGTTTAGCACCAGTTGTACATACTAAGTGCAACCAGGTCGATCTTCAATTGATTCTGAGTGGATCTTGTCAAATATTGTACCTTCTCTATTCAACACTGCAGCTCTTGTAATAAGTATAAACAGTATAAAATGTGGAAATCACACGACACCCGCTGTCATCCTGTCTAGTTTGAATCAAATGGTCCTTTATTTACCTTTACTGCCATAAATAATAAGTTTCACCAAACATCAGCAATATTGTGAGCTTTATAAAACGCTTGGGATAGTTAATGTATCCAGAAAAGTAAGTGGAGGCTTTAAAAATAGTTTATGTTTTTTTTTTTAATATTTTTATATATTTTCTTCTGTTGTTTTTTTATTTTACTTCATTTTATTCTATTTCATTATATTTTATTTTATCATATTTTATTTTATTTTATTTTATTTTATTTTATTTTATTTTATTTTATTTTATTTTATTTTATTTTATTTTATTTCATTTTATTGTATTGTACTTTATTTTATGTTATTTTAATTTAATTTATTTCAATTTTATTTTATCTTTTTTTATTTTAAATTAAATTATTTAAATTTTAGTTTATTTTGATTCATTATGTTTTTTACAAATATTTTTTCAACTCAAGACCCAAGCAAAAACCCTATCATTTTTTATTTATATAAGTTTTTTAATTTTAAGAATTTTACTTTTAAGAACTTTAATTTTAGAAATTTTTCCAGTCAAAATGTTTTTCAGAGAACTCCCAAAGGGTAAAGAAAAATAAGTTTCGCATTTCTAAGATACAAAAAAAAAAAATATATATGAAAATACTCCCACGTCAGCTGATAATTTGAAACGACTTTAGAAACTTCTTATGAAGTTTTGAAGTTTGAAATATCACTAAACACAAACAAAAAAAAACTCATGCATTGAACTACTGAACAAACAACAATACAATAGTTGTATTCTAGTGCGTTAGTTGGACAAAGTTTCATTTTATTGTTATTGCACCATGTGCTTTGGTAAAGTGATATACATTTCTATGAGTATTTTCAATTCACTCAATTGGCGGGTCTCAAGCGCCCGTCGGCCAGTATGAGGAGATAAACTTGAAACTTTTAATGGCATAACACATAACGACTTCTTAACTGTGCATTTAAACGCAAATAGAGATTCCTATACTCGTATGTATATATGTATGTATGTGTGATACAAGTATGTCCCATTTTGTATGGGATTAACACCAGTTGTACATAAAAAGTTTTCAGTAGCTGAAAGATAATTATTTTAATGTCGCAAACGCGCAGAGTGTTAATTGTCATTTCAAAATATTATCCAATATTTATGTGTGTGTATGTATGTATGTAAGTGAGTAGCTGTTTAGTATTTTGGGGGTAGAACAATATGAACATTTTAGCAGCTGTTGGCTGGAAGTTGGCTAACTTGGACTGTTGCATACTTGAAAAGTGCACTAACTACACATTTAATATTAATGAATTGAATATTTTCGTATGTATTATGAGTAATTTGGTAATTGAGAGGCGAATTATTTGTTATAAGGGGTTAGATATTATAAAACTGACGTTAAGCAACATTAAAAACTACCTCAGAATCAGGGAGGACCTCTCTGAGCCGTTCGATATCAGCCAAGGTGATTCCTTTGTATGTGATTTGGAAGCATGGGAAATTTCCACTTCGCTGAAAATACCAGATGGAATAGGACCTAAGAACTAAAGAAGAAGATGTGCATGCTTCCTTAAAGATTCCTTGGTTAGGGTCCTAAGACGCCTGGCATCTAAAATTATAGTAAAATAATTTTTCTTATAGTGCTTGCCCCTCGCCACGGAATGTCAAGCCCTCCGAGTGTATTTCTAAGTTTTATGGCTCCTAAAAATAAAACATTCTTCGATTGAGAAACAACTTATCAAACCGCAGAACAGAAATTGGTGGAAAAATGGAGCTATTGAGACGCGTTAGTGATGCACGTCGCTCAAGTACAACTGAGAATTTGTAGCCCAAAGTGTTAAAGGACACGCAGGTTTTTCCATTCCGCGTCATTCTTTCGAGTGCCCAATTCTACAAAAGTCATTACAACGTATTTTGCATAAAGACTTGGGTATTAAGGCTTATAAAGTACTGTTAATATAAGAACTCAAGTCGACTGATCATCAACAACAACGTGATTGGGTGCTGAGAAAGCGTGCAAATGACTAGATGTTTCATCGGAAAAACATCTTGATCCTAATGAGGCCCTTTTTCACCTCCATGGCTACGTCAATAAATGGAAATGTCGCATTTGGGGCCAGGAAATCCCAACGTTTATTATTGAAAATCCTATCCAACGTGTAACTTTTTGCTGTGGCTTAGGAGCCGGCTGAATATATTGCGTTAGCACGAGATGGCCCAAAGACTTTGTGAGGTCGGGATTGGATGGTATTGATCTGGTCAACGTTTACTTTCAGCAAGACGGAGTTAAGTAACTGCCACACTTGCAACGAAACCATCGTTCTTTTAAGGAGAAAGTTTCCAGATCGTGTTACTTCTTGAAGATATTATCGCAATTGGCCACCGAGATCTTGTGATTAACATCTTGCGACTTCTTCACTTGGAGTTTACGTGACAGATAAGATCTATGCCAAGAGGTCAACGTCGACTCAAGACCTCAAAGATGGAATTCGTAAAGCTATTGGGCGCATACTGCAGCCACTTTGCGATTTGGTGAAGGAAAATTGTGTAAAAAATAGACGGTCCTGTAAGCGTCCATTTGGCTGATATTGTTCTCTGTTATAGCTTCATCTTTACAATGAAATAATCATCCTAAGATTTCTCTCAAAGAAATAAATTTTTCTTTGAATATCAAAGTAACAACTCTTATTGGAAAACCCAATACAGTCCTTTACGCCATCCAAACCACAGTCTAATGCTATGCGATCGCTGGCGGGTAAGCGCTCTTTCCACTCTTCGTTAAAACATCAATCTAAAGGGGTGTTCGCTTTTAGTTAGCAAAAAGTAAATGAGTTACTACTTATATATATATTTTTCCTCGGACGAACCTCATCCCATTACAACACGTCTGATTCCCGCATTTCTTCCTAACAAACACCCAGCTTCCGTTTACGGTTGAGGTTATTGTCAAGTCAGTGACATGTACGCGTTCATAAAGCCAAATCGTTTGCGCACATGATACCAGTTCCGACAACAACAACAATAACAACAACAGCAACAGCAGCAATATAAGATTAATTTAATAACAAAAGTGTAACTGCCAGCACTTCAGTAAAGCCTGAGTAGTCGGGGGTTAAAGCAGCAGGCAATGTCAAGTTGTGTCAAAGTCACTTTATACCAATGCAACTGTCGCAGCGTCAACAAATGTGCTGGGGACCGAAGTAATGCAGGCACACGTACGATTGCAGTAAGTAAATGCTGAGTTGACTTGAGTCGAGTTGAGTTGAGTTCAGATTTATTTTTCTTTTGCAAGCGACCGTAACGTAGCGTACGTGCTTACGGGTACTAAAATCAGGAAAGTTTGTCGCACATCAAACGTGTGAAATCAACCAATTTCGACGCAACTAAAGGTTGAGTATGTGAGTGAGTGAGGGATGGCACAAAGAAGACACAGAATAGAAGGTTGTACAAGAGAAGCGCGTTAAGCGGAACTCCAAATAGTAGCAACATCAATTGCCGTAGATAGAGATAAAGGTACTACTGTCTCTACCGTATCTGCCACCACCGTCGCACCATCCCTTGGATTGCTTACCACTACTCGAACAGTTGAACTTTGACATCATCAAGGGTCGTGTGTCGGGTGTCGAGTGTCACAGCATTATTTGCCACAAAATCAGCGTCAAAGTACAAAAGTGTAATTAACTGCTGAGGTGGTACACAGCCAACTATGTAGGCGTGAAATTTTCCATATGTACGACAACATCTGTACAGGGAGACAACAGAGACGAGTGTGTATGTTTGAGATTGATGTAGAAAAACCAAAACAGATATGCGGAAATTTAGACATCCGTGACACATGAGCCGCTCGTCTATTGAGGCGGCTGAGATTTGCTATACAAATGTACACACGTCACGTACATACAGTATTTAAGATTGAACATTTTACCACAAAGCATAACATATACAAGGGGATTAACAAAAGTTCGGCAAGTTGAACATAAAAAGAAAACACAAAAAATCCTTTTTGTATTTATTCATA